TTAGGGTCTCCGACACGTGCTCGACCGAGCAAAAATTGGATTACCTGAGTACTGTTCTTCCTCTGGCTGGGGACCACTTCTAAGCCTTTCTTCATTCTTGTTGATGTTGAATCTGTCAGTTAGATAGAAATAGATGGAACACTGGCAGTTGCAAAGGGGACAGTTACAAGCCACTGGCACGCCGTTCTCATACTCTAGATAATCGACACCAGGCTTGCTGCACTCAGGGCACGTCCCCCCCCTTGGATCCAGCTTACAGTTGAACTTGCAACAGTAGCACGCCATCCTTACATCCAGCATACCCTTGAGCTTAGGATGCCCCTTCTTATCTCTATTCGCTGCATCATGTTCTGCTACAGCTATATCATGCTCCTTCCTCTTCCCTTGATTGTGCTTCTGAATCTTATCTAAATCATCTACAGGCATGATGGAATGGTGGTCACAGATAGGACAACCAAACCTATCCAGCTTGGCTGGATCATAAGAACACTGATCCTGTAAACGCGAGGCTGCTCCCTGCTGCCAATAGACCTTCCCTTTCTTGTGCTTGGATCCTTTCAGTCTGTTGCTGGTTTCTTCTGCTTTCATTGCCTTCTTTACTGCTCTGGAAACAGTCTCGAGCTCAGCTACAGCGGCAGCTGTCCTTCTGCTCTCCCTTTTTTGTTGTTGGTCGCTCCTCCCCTTCCTGATCTCCATTCCTGTAAAGAATTTGGCAAGCATTGTGGCTGTAAAGGCCTGACTCCATTCCAATCTCCTCTTGTGATGCGTGTTCCCTGTTGCAGTTATATTGTGATACACCCCCTGCATCTCTAGGGACAGGGCGTCCCCCCCAGGAAAGACAGCTTTGATGAGATCATGGCTGAGCTTCTCCCTGATTCTAAGCAGCAAATCTTGCTTTTCTTTGAGTGGAACAAACTTCCTCTTGGCCAGTGTAGCCTGTGCTGTCTTGAACAAAGGATGGGATGCTGCTGGTAGTGTTGGTGGAGCAGGTGGCACTGGTGGTTGCGCGGCTGGAGGGGGAGGAGGGACAACAGCTTCCTCTTGATGAAAATCCTCTTCAGATGAATCATCTGAGACTAATCCATCAGCATGGCCTCCTAGATATGTATTCAGTTGTAGGAGACCATCCCTGGCTTCTCTATCCTCCTGTGTATTCATCCTATCTTCTGGATCGGTGCTCATACTGCTGGTTGCCGACGTCAGAAGAAGCAGTGGTCGTGAAAAGAAAACAAGCAACACTAATCAAACTAAATAAGGACTTCTACTGGGTCCTTTTCTATGGTTCAAGGCTTGTTAAATCGACAATTGAAGAGAGCTATCGATTGATACCAAGTATAGTGTAAAAGGTTGAGTGGAAGTGCTTGAAATGGAGCGATTCCCATGGTCGGTTGCTCCCAACCGTATTTTTTCGATAGAATGAAAAGAACAGTTTAGAATCAGCGTGCTGGATCAGCACGTTGGATCAGCATGCTGGAGGCAGGTAAAGGTAAAGACACTACGCCTCAGTACAATTTTGAACGCGGAATCAAAACCCTTCTATTTTGACCGAAATCCCAAGGCACCTTGATCCACGATTTTCTACAGGATTTTCTACACAGCTTTGTACTAGGACCCATCCAAAAGACCGATCTAGGTTGCATCTTGCAAGATGCTGAACAGCTGCTGGCGTGCTGGCGTGCCCCCCAGCGGGTCTAGTACAGATTCTACCTAGGAGTACGTCCCTAACGTACAATGTTAGCGCTAACATACGGAACGTTAATTTAACGTTCCCAATGCCTTAATTAACGTAATTTCAATTGATGTTTTACGCGTAGTATGAGTTTCGACGCGATGCATAGTACCCCTCTAAATTTTGACCCCTGACGTTACGTACGTACGAGTACGTACTTAGAACCTTAAAATACAAGCAATATTCTGCCCCGAAAAGGTTTGGGGACGATACCAATGAGATAATGATCCAGCGCCCGATCACAAATTTGAAATCCGACTGTTCGACCATCCCATATCCCATACTACGTACTTTATGGTAACGTAAGGTAATCGGTAATCTGCTTTCTGCCATCATTCGTCTGTACTTTTGAGAGAAACACGGAAATCACGAAGGAGATCGGTGAACAATTGAAAACGGTTGTGAACAATGACGACGGTTTTCTTCTTAAAGGCACGGGGGCTTCGAACGACTGTGTCAATACCATATGCATTTTTATTGCTGGCGCTGTTTTTGTCGTCCTTCCATAGATGCAATGTGAACGGCCTTTCTTTTTCACACCCATGTCAAAGACGATCGAGTATAGTAAAGAGAAGCAACAGCTCTTCACGAAGCAAATTATGGATGACTTCCGAGACTGGTTCGAATTCTGACAATATGGATGGTACTGATGAAAAAGATGACGCTAACCTCCCAAAACTAAAGAATAAGCTGACTCGTGATTTTGTTTCAATCGGTTTTCCTGCATTCATCCAACTAGCAGCAGAGCCCTTGGCAGCATTAGTGGTACGTCAATTTAGTTCTTATTTCATTAAAATCAAGATTCTTGTGATTTCATCTTATCAGTTCAATTTCTGATCATTACAATTCTTGAAATGAAACGTAACTATCTTTGCGGTTATGTCCAGGATACCGCTTATCTCGGTATGTACATAGTATTTGTATTTTTGTATAAATTACTGTTCGAAAGAATTGCCAGATATTTGACATATTTATCAGATGGATTCTCATTTTGATGTCTATGCTTCCATCATTGCCTGGTTGTATCAGGTCGACTAGGTCCGGAGGTCCTCGGAGGTGCAGGTGTCGCAATTTCTGCGCAATACGCCGTGTCAAAACTATACAATGATCCGCTACTGCGTACCAGCATTTCTTTGGTAGCTTCTACCGATGGACAAGCTAGAGGAGGAAACAATGACGATGGTTCAAGTTTGGAGAGCAAGGAATCCGAGAACAAAAAAAAATTATCTATTGCCGTTTCATCAGCCCTCTTATTGGCCTTCTGCGTTGGAACGATTCAGTTGGTCGTCTACTCGGTATTGGCTGGTTCTATCACACGTGGTATGGGGCTCTCTCCATCAAACCCCATGTGGCACTCGGCTGTTTCTTATTTACGCGTGCGAGCCTTGGGGACACCGGCCGCAACGCTTTGGTTGGTCAGCAATGGAATTTTCCGTGGTCTTGGCGATACACGCACACCTTTAGTATATTCCTTTTTCTTTACTGCGCTGAATGCAATTTTGGATCCATTGTTCATCTTCACCTTTAAATTCGGAGCATCTGGAGCTGCAGCTGGCACTGCAATCGCTCAGTATACAGCACTTATTCCTCTCATGATGGCCTTAAATCGCAAAGTCAAAATCGATATCTTCGGGCAGTTGTCTCAACTCAAGTCTTCTCTGAAGGCATACATCAAAGCTGGAAGTTTGGTTTTATTCAGAACGCTTGGCAAAGTCCTGGCATACAGTGTGTGCGCTCGAAAAGCAGCAAGTTTGGGCGCTGTCGCGGCAGCTGCGTACAATCTCACGTTCCAACTAGGTTTTGCCACTACGCAAATATGCGAGGCAGGTAAGTTCGATTGCGAAAAGGCACAGGTCGAGCCGTAGGACACTGTCCAGCCCACAAGATTACGTTGAAATCGCTCACACTTCTTTTTCTGCCGCGGTAATTTTTGAACCTTGACATCCAACAGTCGCTGTTGCCGTGCAAACACTACTTGCCCGCGAAATAGCCGACAACCAAACGCATTCTCCCAGGGTTAAGGCGAAACTGGTCCGCCATCTGATTAACAAATCCTTACTCTTGGGTGGTGGTGTTGCCTCGACTCTTTCACTTACGACCTTTCTACAAAGGGATTCAATTCTTCGTGGTTTGACCACCAATTTAGCAATCAGAGAAGCTTCCACTGTCATTTTCCCTGCTGTTTTGTTGACACAAGTTTTCAAAGGACTAGCATATCCTGTCAATGGGATTATAATGGGAGGTTTAGATTGGATCTTTTCCATGGCTACAATGTGGGCTGCTAACTTCGTTTGTATTGGAATGCTCACATTTTGGAGTTTGAATGCAGTAACAGTAAGCTTGTCTCAAATATGGTGGGCACTCGCTGCTTTCATGGCTACTCAGGTCGTCACAGGAATCATTCGGTACGAAAGCAAAACTGGTATATGGCAAGTTTTGAAGGGAGACGCCAAAAAAGCTGCTACGCCGTCATAACTGGTTCGTCTCTAAACAACTAGTTAATGTATTCTTTTAGTATGCTTCCTTGTCAAGAGGCTTTATCTGTTCTCGCAATTTTGCTTGTAGTCTCAATAGCTCTTCTTCGTCGATTTGAATAGGGTTTCGCACTGGTGTTTTATGCTGGTAAGTTATTCTACTGTAGTCAATGCCCATTTTGTCGTATCGTAAGAAGGGTTTAAACTTAGTATGCATCGAGTCAACAAAAGAGCAGAGATCTTCTTCAATTTTCATTGTTTCTGGATGGATACCAAATGTATTGAAAAATTGTTCCCGAGAACGTATCCGCCCCAACCCGTATCGTTCTTCTTCTAAGTGTAGGTAATCGGGAGCTGGGTCTGAAGTTCCAGATATTCCGATGAGCCGATGATCTTCGAGATGAAGCATTACAATTAATGAAATTCTCAAATTGTAAGAGCTACAAAAACTATGGAGACTTTGATCTTGTTATGTTTTGAACATGGAAACTTACATGCTTGCTCCTTGACTGCTCGACCGAATATAGCTTGATTTTCGGTGAATTTCGGGACTTCGTTACGCTTTTTCCAGTTGAATCTCACGGCATACATATGGTAGGCCACGTTACGCAAAGGCGCGTAATAGTCGTATCCAAATGAAAAGCCCCGAATTGTCTGTAATATTTCTTCGCCCTGAAAGACAGATGGCAAGTAATGGTCGTATGGTACCGAACTAGCACAGACAAAAAAGACTTTTTGTTAGACAATCAATTGCTCAGCCCTTACAAAACCATACGCGCAAGTAATTAAAGCTAGTCTCACTTACACTACAAAGTGTCCCCGACCAAAAGAAAATCCAGCTGCCCAAAAAGGCTGCAGCATAGGCGAGTCCTCTACTGTTGGAGCCTTGACAGGTTGTTCACCGAATTTAATGTGTGCCATCGAACCTGGATTCCATTCGTAGTCAAATTTACACATTAGCGATCGCCGATTGCCGGCACTCTCGTGTGTTACTGGGTCGATAGAGTGCCTCCCGAGATCGGTCATGTAATTCGTAAGAACAGCCATTTCATTCCCGGTAGAATCCCATTGATCAATGAGATCTTCGTCCCAATTTGCTACAAATCGAACATGGGAATCAACTTGCATGGCAAAGTATTCGCCGCGATACATTCGATTGACCAGATGGCGTGCGAATACAGGCCCTACCATTAGTATGGATGGGTATTCAATGTAATCAATGCGGTCAGCATAGGGACAAAGGGTTTGATCCGGAGCCTCACGGCACGAGTCCTCACCCGGCGGTCGGCAGCTAGGATCATTTCCATCGACTTTCCGCTGATCGGCAATGGCAACCCTGAGTCGTTCGGGGTGCTTCGCTCGTGCGAATATATCTTCTACTGTGAGTGAACATTCTGGGTCTCGATACGAGGCAATGGCAATGAAGATGGTGCGTTCCCCTTCGTAAAAACTCCCAATCGCCGACGCCTCGGTTGGTGTGATGAGGTATTTGCCACCATTGCCAAGGAATTCTCTTACCCCCCCATCGAACTGCCCGAAAGCACAAACTGGATCCCAGAATTTTGGAACCGTCATGTTGACTAATTCAAATTCTGCTTGCAACAACTCTTGCATTCGATCTTTATCCGTTAAAAGATACCCCGGATGAATGATTGATTCCGTGTGCTCTGTGTTGTTGATATCGACGCGTATTGGAAATCTATGCCGAAGGTCGAGTAGCTGTTGCGTAGATAGAGAGTGGGTTCGTCTCCAATAGCTTGGGGAGAAATAATTTTTCCCTGGAGGCCCTATCACGAGCATATTAGTGAGGACGGCAATCGCGATGCCCATGGCAACCACACAGGAAAAAAAAAGTAGGAACACGGATAAGCGGCAATTCAGTCCAAATTTTTGCACCACATTCTGAAGCCATTGTTGCAATATTTCCTGCCACTTCAACAATGTCAACGACGAAATACGACCAGGTCGTTTCGTCCCTGTCGATGAATATGTTCCCGCAGGGGAGGCACCGCTGGGGTTTTCGACATCGGTCCTGCTGTCTATCGACAACGGCTTATTTGGTCCTCTGCGTATGAGAGGCATGGAAGATCAAGTGGCTCTAGTTTACCATCGAAGCTTGGATGGGTTGGCCTACGCGTACGATTGCAAGCTTGAAGGTAACAGGTGATGGTTGTCGAGATTACTTCTTCAAGTACGAGTACCAGTACCGTACGAACCGATGTGCGTTCGCAGTTTTCAAGTTTCTGCTCGTGTTGTTGAGGGGCTGATGATTTTTCAATCGAGAGGTAATTTTTTTTAATTAGAACGGGACCTGCGGAACCCACGCGTGCACTCCCCCATTTTCAGCTCTGCACTTCGGGGTTCAAAACGCCGGCTATTTTTCTCATAAAATTCTCGTAAAATATCCCCCTTCTCAAAACACTTTTTCCAGAAGAAATAACCCATACAGTATTTTTTAAATGGCATAACCCATGTTTGAGAGGAATTTGAGCTCCCGGATTCCTGAGTTAAGCAATAACCCATGAACAAGAGCAACCCACAAATTTGTTGGCCCCAATCTCAAGAAGAAACCCCAAAGAGGAGGAACAATTTATTACTTTACACTGCTGTCCCTGCTGATCCTTTTTGTCCTAGTATCTCCTTTAAAAAAAATCTTGACGACCTAACTTCCATGATTCCTCTTTGACCATCAAAATGACTGTTTGTTGCAGTGGTGGTTTATTGATTATTCCTGAGTTGTTTCCTTGGTTCATGGGTCCCTACTAGTACTACTGCTGCTCAAATATTACTTAGTGCAAGAAGTCGAAGCAAAGGTGCAATTTTGTGCACGCATGAACAAGATCAGTCTTCAATAAAGAAATGTGATACTACTGCATAGCACAGCACAGCACAATGCAGCACGACTGAGTACAACACATCACGGCACAGAAGAAACTGCAAGTACTACTACTACCCGGTACAACAAGTAACCAATATTATGGAGTGAAGTTTTTCCTGCATCCACAAAATAAAATTTGGATGCATACTTTGGGCTGCACAAACACAAAACTCAGAGCACTAATCTGTGGAACATGTTCTCGCACCACCCAGCTTTCATGAGCACAAGGTTGATGCCCATTCTTGCTGGGGTCCACATCATTTTTTGTCATCAGTTTTTCTATTTGCAACCACAAGATAACTAAACAAATGAAGGAGTATCTTGAGTATTCAGAAAAGTGTTTAATGTAATGACTTATATTCCAATACTCTGGTCCAATTTTTAGAGATAAATATTCTGATCTCTCTGCTTTGGTTGTGTTGCTTAAAGACTCATTTCTCCACTGTTGTCAATTCTTTTCAGGCAATATACAACTCAATCTACTTCCACAAGAAACTCCTGATACAGAAATCCTACTATCAGCATTGTTTTGTATCATTATTGTAAAGATTTTACTACTATACTTATACACCCATCAAAGTCATAGTATAATTAAAGAGATTGGGGTCCACAATTTTGTCTGGTCAACCATCTTTTCATCTTTTATCATTATCCCTTTTCTCCCTATCACTAGCTTTATTTCACTTTTGATGGGACAGATAATCTTTTTTAATTAATTACAGTTTTTGCATCAGCAGTTCGTCGTCGGTGGAAAGGTGTTGCGGTGACCCATCACGTTTGTTTTTCTTCAATACGGATCCCTCTTTTTCGCCTCTTGCAATGATTTTGCAGTGAACACGCCGCATATCCTGCTTTCTTCTCTCCGCCAGCCGGTGTGCCAGCCCATTTGCCGGACGCTTACCACACCCTCTTTGATCGAAAGGTTGTCAATTCCGGTGCCAAAACAGGGGAGAGAAAAGTATAGGCGACCAGCCGGGATCGACACGTCACCGTATACATAGCTCTGATCGGCTCGGACCGTACCCTCCACTTCCACGTACATCCGCAGGGTGTTCATGCCGTTTTTTCCGGAATCAATGCGGTAGGCTCCGTCATTGCATTCCATGCGGTCAAAACCGTCTCGCAGCCGCGCAAACGGCGCCGTTTTCAGGGCAAATACAGGGGAGCTGCTGCCCACGGTGTTGTCCTTCACCATTTTCTGCGAAGCTTCGGGTGTCGCAAGGGAATTAGCTAGCAATTTGATGTCAAGGGCGAATTCGATTCTCTTGCCACTGGCTGCCCACCGAGGATCCATCCACGACCCTTCCTCTCTACCGATATCTACGTACAACCGGTAGCCCCTATCCCCCTCCTCGTTCGAGTCTCCCGAAACCACGGCCCAAGGAGACGCGGCCGCCTGCGGCGAAACGGCGGCGGTGGACCCACCGGTGCCGCTCCCCTCGTCGTCTATCCCGTTCTTCTTTTGGTGCGATGTGCCTTGCTCGATTTCCGACCTCAGCTGCTCGGCCCTCGCCTTGAGGGCTTCCGCCTCCGCCTTGAGGGCTTCCGCCTCGCTCTCGCGCGGCTGCGGGTCGACGTCTGCCCGGGAGGCATCCAGCCGAAGAACGCTCGTTGTTCTGAAATGCCCGTTGCAATTCCGATCGTCGCAACTGCCGCGATGCGGGGCTACAAGCAACAGATTGAACGGTGCCGTTGTGATTGCCCTTGTCGCGGTCGCGGTGAATGCCTCCGACGGTGCCAAGATGGACAAGAGCAATATCGTCACCGGGTATGCGAGGGTTGCAAAGAGGGTATTCAGTCTCGATTGAAGAATCATTTTGCGGAAGGCTTTGTTAACAGTCGCTGAAAAATATGGGAACGTTGGGGAACGAGTTCGTATTCTTGGCCATTCCTCTGGTCCCGGCTACTAGTGAGGCACTGTACGGTGGGTGAGCATTCTTGTAAAAGAAAAGTGAACGACGGGAACAACGAGAACAGCAGTTTCGATAAGGCATTGTACGGTGCCGTAATCTTTTCGTGTTGGCATTTGGAACAGGCACGCCGTATCATCAGCGGCTTACGTGTACTAAAGTTGATCCCCGTCGTAAAAACAAAAGTGTCATGGTTCGTTCAAGAACTAAACCGGAATGAATGAGTACGAGTACTCGTAATGAATACAGAACACGTACCTTGTTGTACGATACCTACCATACCCATGCAAGTACGAGTATCCTACGGTACGTTACTCGTACCCGCCGGCGCCGGTACGTACTTTTTTGCACCCCTGCCTTTTTATTGGTTTGTTGCTTCTTTTAGCAATACAGGACTGAATCAGTCGAAGGCCTGGGAGCGATACGTATCGGTGTCATTATTTTTTTCAGTCCTACTACGGTACAGGAATACAGCGCATTACGCTGTGTTATTTTTGTTACCGTAGCCTAGTGTAGCTATCATCCCCCAGTCAGGGGTCCCAAGTACTGTACGGGGTACAGACTTGCACCGTAGCGTGCTGCAGGGGTCATAATTGCGGTGCTAAAACAATGGTGCTATGGTCAGTTCGTACCGTACGGCAGGGGTCATAAATTTAGACCCCTACCTACCTGCCGTACGGTACATACTACCGTACCGGCCGGTACGGTACAGGTGAGTTGGTAACTGATTTCTGATTTTAACCGAAACGGTCGGCACAAATAACGAGTGACGACGTTAAACACCGTAGTACCGTACAACTTCCTCCGACTGACTGCACGATATGCCCAGTAATATTATCTGCCTCGTAGAACGAAACCTTGCTTACCTACTGTACAGTTTGTAGTACCGTACGTAACTTCCTTTACTAGAAGCAATTTTTCTCGAGAAAGTCATTGATTTTTTATGCAACCAAAGACACAACCAAGCAACCGAGAGGTCCACCTTGGTTGCAGTTCAATGATACCAGCACAGTCATCAAGCAAAGACGACAAGTGACTACGCCGCAAAATCTACAGGAAGCTAGAAGCAACGAACAACCGAACAGTGATCGTCCGAAAGCACTCACAAAAAAAATCAACCAGCTCTCCGATCAACGCACAACAATATCATAACAAATACAATGGAAGAGTCGCAAGATGAAGGCAAGAGTGCTAACATTGCGTTGCCGCCCAATGCTGCGAACTCAATTGGTGGCAGTGCTAGTACCGCTGCCAGTGTCAGCGAAGCCCTTCCCGCGCGCGTGAGAACTCGGCGTCGTCGTCCACTCCCCGAGTCCCAGGCCAAGCGAAGGATGGAGGCCATGGTTTCCGGAATCGATCACAAACTGGCAGCGGCTTTCATCTTGATCTTGGTGCTGTACGTTGGCATTACCATCGGAACGTTTTTGAGTATCGACTCACAGGATTTTCGGCACGAAGTCATCGAGCAAGCGAGCCCTAAACGGATGAAGATGATCAAAAACGTTTTCCGTAGTGCCGAAAACAAGCAGCAGGACAATGCGAACAAAAAACAGATTGACCCACCGCACCTGCGGGCGGAAGATATATCCGATATAACAACCCTACATAGCACCTTCCCGGTGCATGCTTCGAAGGATCTGGAATGGATCGACCATCCTGGTATCTTCCTTTCGGACCCTAAAAAGATAAAATCGATCCTGGAACAATTCAAGGACAAGCTACCTCAGAACGGAAAGATGCAAGTTCCCAAATTTTGGAGACCAAGCGCGTACGGGCCGGAAGGCGTACGACACTACCTGGGAAATTACGGTGAAAAACTCATATCTCCGACGCAAGCTCTTCAAATTGGTAGCCGTCTCCCCGGACGAGGACTCGAGACAGTTTATATTTCTGTGGCTTCCTATCGTGATCCCGAATGCCAACCGACCGTCGAAGATATCTTTTTGAGAGCCGAGTACCCAGAGCGCCTACGAGTCGCTGTGGTTGAGCAACGTGTCGAAGGAGAGGACGATGAACTAATTCCACGGTGCGGGGAACCATTGAGGCCTTGTTCAGAAGACCCCGATCAGGTAATGTGCAAGTATGCTCATCAGCTCGATGTTTTTGTCGTACCAGCCATTCTATCCGTTGGACCCGTATTCGCCCGGCACATCGCCAACCGGATGTACCGCGGTGAATATTTCGCTATGCAAGTCGATTCACACGTGCGATTCATTCACCACTGGGATTCGGATCTGATATCTCAATGGAAATCGGCGAAGAACGAAATGGGCATCATCACTACATACTTGAGTGACATAACGAATAGCATCGATCCCGTTACATTTGAAAACCGTCATCCCAACAGACCCATCATGTGCCAAACCGGTTACGAAGGAGCAGGAAAATTAAGGCACCTGCGGCATGGCCAGCAACCGGAAGGATTGCCAGGCATTCACGGTGAACCAACCCTTCACCCATTCTGGGCAGCGGGATTCTCCTTTGCACGAGGACATTTTGTCGTCCAAGTACCGTATGACCAGTACCAACCAATGGTCTTCCAAGGGGAAGAAATTAACATGGGCTTGAGGGGATGGACCTACGGGTATGATTATTATACTGCAGAGACGTCGGTCGCTTTTCACATGTATGCCATCAAGGACAACAAAGCCAAACGAAAGAAGGTGAAACTATTCTGGGAAAACAGCAACCTTTATCCCGGTGCGGCAGTACAGGGCATGAAACGACTGAACGGGATTATTGGAACCGGAGACCCAGGCGATGTGTATTACAAAGAGGAAGAAAAAGAGTATGGGCTCGGAAGCGTTCGACCAAAGGAACAATTTTACAGACTTTACGGAATCCACACGGAGTCAAAGACTGTCGAAGAAAATTTGTGTCGCTTTGTTGGGAAACCCATGCAGAAAAAGTTCAAACCATACCTGCGGGAGAATCTCATGGGCATTGACTTCTCACACGTCGCTTTCGAATTCAAAAATCCCGACAAACTCGAGGAACGCAAGCACAAGCGCAAGGGTCATAAGGGTTAGCAGGAGTCCCAAATTGGAATCGAGAGTCACGGGCATCCATATTCGAATCTCCCAGACTGGAAATCATATTAGTCGAGTTTTCAGAAATATGGCACGAGCATTGCTGTACTAAACGAAGTTGTCTGTCTCAGAAAGCCGAACGTATGAAACCGCGCTGATAGGTGCAAGCAACCAGTCACGCTTCAAACTTCAATCCTAGCCCACTTCAAGGTCCACAGGCAACTACCGAAAAGTGCATCTTGGACTCTAACAATCATTGCTCCGTGGAGCATGGTAGGATTGAAGCCAGTGCAGCCTCCAACAGTGTGCAAGACCTGTACAATTCATTTGACATGGAAACGAATTTTAGAATGCTACTTGTTGTTGAATTCTAAAATTTGATTGAATGCTTGGCAGAGCTTGCGGAGGCACAGTGGATGCCCGGGGCTAACAATTTGACATAGCCTTCAGCTCTCCAAGTTCTGATTTTTTGAGTTGTTTGGCATAGCAACGAGAAAGTTTCATCCAGACTGGCATGAAGTAGAAAACTAAATTTAGAAGAACCTTACTTGTCATAAAACTGATATTGATTTTTATATTGATAATTATCAAGAACCATACATAGTTCAATGAGCCTCTTCAGAAGAGTGACCAACGAGATTGAGCTATGCATCAATTGTTTTTTATTTTTTGAAGAGGGACATTTTGTTAGTCCTATATCCATCACTATGTTTTGTTTTCATTACAATAGGATGGCTACTACTGGATTTATTGTGATTCTGGAGATACAACATTTTTACAATTTTGCATGTGTCATTGGTGGGAAGCTTGTTCTCAGCAACCAGTCATTGTCTCCCAATGTCTGACATAGCCACAGATGAGGAAAAAAGAGTACTATTCATAGTTTGGATTGTCATGTTCCAGCAATGACTTCCTGTCAAGAAGATGCTTCCAAAAAAGGGGGCATATTAAATTTGAGTTTCCCTTAAAAAGATCACTTATGTACATGTCTGTCATTGTTCCACTCCATTGCTAGTAGATGGATGGTGTGTGCACAGGTCATGAAATTACATGCAAAATTCTCAGATGACATGCACTTTTTTGTTTATATCCATTAGTAGCTAGTATATGTGCCTCAACCAAAACATTTTTTGTTGAAATAAGACTGGTTTTATTTTATATTATGCATTAACAAACATAATAGATATATTTGTCTTGCTACAAGGATTTGAACAAGAAGAATGTATGGGTTCATAGGGGTTGCACATATTCCTCCTGATCCCATTGTCATGCAGCCAGGACATGATGCAGGAGGACATCAACTGCTGTCACATCAGGATTGCATGTTGCAGCAAGTGGAAGCCCTGTAGCAATACCCTTGCCATGGTCTCAGGTGGGTGTCAGGTGAGGTTGCTGTCAGGTGATATCACTGTCATGTGAAGTTGCAGGCATGTACCATCAGGGTACCTACTGCTAGTAGATGCACTGTACCATGGTATATGATATATGTACTGGTACTAGTTGTACTGCAAGCTTTACAGCATCTTGTAGTGACGATGTGAGATCAAGTTCACCTGAGTTTCGCATCAGTCAGCCAGCTCTCACCTGAGCTGTAGTGCATGTGCAGGCATTTAATGGTGACCTCTCTATGCCCTGGCCTGGTTGACTTGTATTCCCCACCATGTGGGACACTACTACCTACTAGTATATACTACTACCTTGTATTGTCATATCATATCCACATAGTGTGTTACATGCGCATGGGGAGTCACCTGGCCCAGTCACACCTTGCATGCGTATCCACAAGTGTCCACCATTGTCTTTCCTATATCTTGCCCTGTGGCTCCTTATTAATTGGCAAGCAGAACTGTACCTCGCCCATGATACAGCATTGTAATAGACTGAAAAAATAATGAAGTGCTGTACTATTACAGGTAGCCAGTACTGTACTTTGTACAAAGTACTTTTTAATACCTGTCTAGGTTCTGTAGTACGTAAATAATACAATAAAATCAGTAAAAAGTTTACATATTAGCTCCTCTACGGTAACGAGAGAACAATACACTTCATTTGCTGTCACAACATTAACCTATCTCAAAAAAAATTACTAGAAGTATTTATATCAAATATTTGTAAGTACTAATTTGTATGCAGGAAGCTACTAATGCAGATACAGATGTTGCTGATACAGAGGATGACTCTAAATGTGTGATATGGATGTGTTCTTGCTTGATAGCTCTTTCTGGAAGGTGAGACAAAAGCATATGCTGGTGTTTTTTTTTCTGACTACTAAAAACTTCACATTTTCATTGTATTTGATTACCTATTCCAGAATTGAGCCACACATTTGCCTTCCTCGTAGTACAGGAATTTTCTGTGCATCCTCATCCTCACCAGATATCCTTGGTATGGTACAATGTAGGATGGCAAATGAGGGCAAGACAGGTCTAGAGTCAGTACAAATTTTACACAGCTCTAGTACAGAGAGAATAGTAGACCTCATCATCCTTTGGAACTTTAACCTGTGTCAAAATTATGAAAAACTACTACCTCCATCACACAATAATAGTACACTTTGCAGTACTATATATTTCCCTAAATAATTGTCCAGTATTTACTTAACAGATTTTGGAGTTTTTGGCTGTTGGATTCTACAAATGACTGCATATGACTGTGTAGAATGTGTAGAATCTGTACTGTGGAAAAAAATGAGCATGTGCATGAATTATTTATTCTTCACACATGAAAATACACTCTATTAACACGACAAACTATAGTTTGTATTGTTGACAATGGTGGTACCAGGCACCTCTTTTGAACAAGAATGACCAATAGTACAAGAAAGTTCTCCATACTGAAGTGAATTACAGCCTCAAAAATGTGTCACTCTTAGCTATCATGTGCAAGTAGCGGCATATCAAAATGACTGTTAGAACCCAACTGACAGTAAAATCACATTGATATGCCAAAAAAGGCCCTCAATAGTAAGTAAACACCACAAGTACAGCAGACGCTTTCGGTTAACATGATCTTTATACTTGTATACATTTATAATAGTTCTCTAAACAAAAAAGAAGCATTGAAATTGCCCATATATTAAGCTTCTTTCAACTCAAGAGGTGCAAAGTGTACTATTATTGTGCTGGGACAGAGGTAGTAGTATTTTATATCAAAATTCCTACTACTAGTACTACTAGTGTAATTTGTAAGTAAGAAGCAAGAAGTTGGTGTAAGTTGCTGATACATAGGACTCTGAAAAGAATTCTTGCCCAATTGATCTGAGACTTTCAGGTCCCCTTGTTCTTGTAAAAATGAAGTTATTATGGTGTATGTGTGGGAGGGAAGTGTCCCTACTAATAGCTCTGTTTGGAGGGTGAGACAAAGCTTCTGTATTGAACCCATAACCGATTCCGGATTCGTGCCACGCAATTGCCCTTCTACCTCGTACTTGTACTGTACTCCTCGTACGAGGACTTCAGCTGATTCCGATATTGGGGCGATGTAGAGGAGGTACAGAGCCTTCGTGAAGAATACTACCAGCCGGACACGTGGAACTTCTGGTTTCGTCCGTTCCCTACTTTCCCAGATTTCTGTCAAAAATATCTTATTTATGTCAAGGAACTGTACCGTGCCGTAGGGTAGTACGTACGGTAAAGTACCGTAAGGTATGGATCACGTTCGACGACATCCGATCACGAAAAAAATACCTAGCTAGGGATGTAAAATGAATTGGTAGTTAGTGGTCGTCGAGGTAGAACATTTCAAACCTTATCCAGTGAGAATCCTACCGTGAAATGGACAACGGATCTGTCTTTTCGAATCGGCAATACATTAAAACCCCTGTATTTTGTCTGCCCGTCGCTGTGTTTTCGGTACAATACCTATCAGTATTTCTATACTTCACCAAAGAACAACGAAAGCCGTCCAACCTACCATAATATTATTCATTCATGTGGGCCTCGGCGACTTTTTTCAAAGTGGTTGCGCTTGCCGTTCTCTTTGACGGCGCTCTGTCGTCGGCTGTGACAGCACCCGTCTCAGCAACTCCGGTAGCGGTCGATACCGATGGTTCTGGCGGCGGTAATTTCGTTGTGCAGATGTTTGGCTACGTCAAAGATTCCTTGGTAAGGACGGTCGATGGCACAAAAGAAATGTGGGCCAACCACGGCCGGTGCAAACAAATCCGCGTCAAGCAGAAAGAGTACCGTGAAAAACTTCAGAAACAATGGGAATTCGAGGAAAAGGGCCTGACACCGAAGGAAATGAGGCAACGACTTTCCAAGGTCAACGGCGGAATAACATACGATGAATTCGTCTTTCTCGTCAAGGGAAAAGAAGATCGTGGGAAACTCATGAACATGGTCTTTCTGATGTGGGGTGCACCCCGATTCTTTCCGTACGCACTTATGTTTTACCCCGAGATCCTTCCAGGACCCTTCGCACCTCTTCCGGACGCTTCCGGGAAAGAGTCAAAGCTACAGAAATTGTCGCGGGAACGAACACACGCCGTCATTCGAACGATGCTTGCAATTGAGACCGAGGCGCGGTCGGTACCAGCCCTGGCCAAGCTCAATATTTTCGGAAAGAAGAAACAAGCTCGACAAATGGACAACATGGACTCGCTGGGCAAGACAATAAGTCAAATTATGGTGACTCCCGGAGGTGGAGCACTTGCTATGAATACAATGGAAGATGTTCTCTATAGCCCAGGCAAAATTACACGAGCCCAAGAGCGCTTGGTAAAGGTCCCTAAGTGCATCACCAACGGTATCATGGCAGCTATTGATGGGCCAAATGCATTCCAATCGTTCATGCCACAGTTTATGAAACGTGGGCAGATCCTGAACCATATCCAGAAACTTAACGACATTGATAACTTTTTGATCGACGAAGGAGTTGATTTGGATAGCTTGTCGACAGCTCGGTTGTTAGAAGCGTGTAGCGACCGCATGATTGGCGGACCGGGACAAAACGATGAAGAAATGCGGGAACACCTCAAAAATTGGCTAAACCTGGGGGTGATTCAACCGGCACAGCGTTGTAAAGAGACCGGGGAATTTTTTAATTACAATCTTGCAAAGATGGCTCTCATGGGCTTCTATTGTGTGAGTGGAGCACGCGATGATAGGTCTGCGTCGTACCTTTCGCGTTCGATGTACTTAGGTCAAGCGAAACTTGAGTGAAGGGAGGATGTTTGCCGCGAGCAAAACCGTGTTTGTAGGTACAGGATAATTAGAAATAATTAGCTCGATTTGGATTTATTCAAGAGAATATAGGTCGTTTCGATTGTCAAGTCGAACATTGTTCCGATTATTCCCTGATTCTTCTTTGTTGAAGTCGGAGTTTGCACGCAAGAAGGGTTGATTCCACAAAAAATCCTTGTGGTCTTCTTCCATATTATGACGTAGAGTAAAAATTTGCCCTGTTTTGAAAATAGCACTACTACAAACTATGCTTTGAAAATTAAACCATTTTTTTACTTTATTATATTCCAACTTCTTCTTCGATCTCTTCTTCCTCTTCGTCGAATTCCGAGTCATCTACTTCTTCGTCTGAATATTCCTCTACCTCAAAATCCTCTTCAGATTCTTCTTCAAAATCTTCGTCGTCAGTACCAAAACTCATTAGTTGAGTATCTAATTGACTCTCCATATCATCGATTTGTCTTGCTGTTGCTTCCTGTTTCTGTCGATCCATTGCTTTCGTGTTAAAATGATCATTTAGTACTAGCGATAAATAAAGCTTGATTCGGAATCGCCAGAGAACATCAAGTTCAAAATCGTCCATATCTGTGCAATCAGAAAGCTCGTCCAAGTAGTTGAAAAGAGTGTCCCGAACATCAAGTAACTTGTCAGAGAGATCGGTCCGTTGACGTTCACTATCTTCGAAAGTGTCCGTGAATACCTTCAATATGGCTGGTAGGCCTCCCTTTCGTCCGTATAGAGTAAAATTCGTAAGATGTATTCCAGGAGCATCCATACGCTCCTCATGGGTCAAACTATCCCATTCCTTGATCATTCCATCATACTTATCTACAACTCCATAAAAAGTTTCCACATCCTCCTTGCCAATCATTGCCTCTAATTGAACTTCGCCAATTTCCTCTAAGATATTCTCAAGATACTCGTCGATTTGCTGAAAGAGCCCAGGACCGTACTTTTCTTCGTGCTCTTTAGCCATTCTTGGATAACCACTTTTTCGCAGAGATACAGCTCGATCTTTTGTACCCATGCTGGCCCATATATCTGCGACGTAGTCCCAGTTGTGCCAAGTGCGCCACCACTCTCTCGGGTCATCAGAGACGTGAAATGGTCCATCTGCCATGATCTTTTCGGGAAGTCCCATGGGAAATTCATCCAATTGATGGTAGTCGGGGTGGCCAAGGGCACCTAGCAGTAACATTTCTGCAGAAACTGCTGGTTCGTCTGGATCGATGGGAAGAGCCAGGGTTGGGAACCATACAAAATCAATCATTCTCAGAAGTGCAACTTTTTCGACGTGGAATGCTTCGAAAAAGTTTTGTAGCTCGCGAATTCGTCGCACAGCCTTTCCAAGCTCGTACCCCGCCAACGCTCTCGGCCAGGGATCTTCGTCGGGCATCACATAGTCTGCTGGCACAAACATATCACCTCTGACCATGTAAAACGCATACATTGCACACATGGCTTTTTCAAATGGGACATCAAGAAAGTACTTTTCAGGACCCCAATCGAAACCAATGGCATCGAGCTGAGCCTTTCTTTCAGGCAAATGCTTCACTTCAAGGCTTCCGTCCTTCATGCGTTTCACGATGTCACCTAGTCGCATGCCTTCGAGATGCTCAGGCCACTCGAGTTCCTTCATATCATCACTATCTTCGGCGTCATCTGTTGATGTGAGGCCACTCTCTAGTCGCAACATTTCGGCTTCGATTTCTTCGTCAGTCATAGCTCTCTCGTCCATTCCGTTTATCGCCATCTCGTCATCAAAATCATCATCAAATGAGTGTTCAGGTTCGTCCTTTACTGGAATCACAAACTCTCCAGAAGTCAAGTTGGAGAAGTCACCGTAGCCTTGTTTGTACAACGTTAAGGCCTCCACGACGTCCTCGAAGACAAAGTAACCACCGAAATCATCATTGAACCAGGGTATTTCAGGTTCTCGTTTGCGCTTTGTCGGTCGTTTGCTATCAGTATCTTCAATCACCCCAGCTTCCAATGCTCGTTCTCTAGCTGCTCCTAAGCTCTCACCAAGCGAACGGGGCGCTTCGTAATCTTCATCAAAGTCCTGCTCCGCAGCATCGCGTTGGTTGTTATTTGGTAACCGGTCGAACTCACGCCCAGCTTCCAGTCCCCAAGTTGGTTGACCTTGGGTCTCGTCATTGTCAGAGCTATCTTGATCATTCTCTTTAAAGTCAAAAAACGATAGGAACGAATCCGCACTATCCTCGTCTGATTTCTTCTCTACGCTAGAAGCCCCCTTTGTTTTTGATTCTGCTTCCAGTATAGCTTCCTTTTCTTCCTGGTCAATCTGATCCAAGGTCTTTCGTCCTCTCTTCTTTGTTTCTTTTTCTGGAGGAGTCCACACAAATCCCAATGCATCTAACATATCTTGTCGTTCGGAATTATTTTTGATAAAGGTTCCTTGACTACGAATCGCATTGACGCGTGCTCCAAGTCTCAATCCCCACGATTCTTCTGGCCATTCTGCCGAATCGCTAGGGACTACAAACGGCTGAGGAACCAACAAATCACCGTATGTCTCTTTATAGCGTTGAAGAGCTAAATAGACAGCTTGAAATCTCTTGTCATTTGCTGACAACTTTTTGTCGGTCTCAAAACCAATTTGCTTCAGTTTTTCTTCCGCACCAGGATTTTTCTTTAGATAATCCTTCGATCGCAACTGTTTGATGCTTCTACCCAACGGTAGTCCCCTTGTGCTCTCTGGCCAAGGTTCAGCATCGGGAACAGAAAACTCGGTGGGGACAGTCAGTGGTCCTGATGGTTTGATTTCAGCTCGGTATACAGTAAGAGCATCATATATTTGATCAAACTGAATGCTTGTGTCAGTTGGGGCCCTGAGCTTCCAAATGAAGCCCAATTTTTCCAGTTGTTCACGTCGCTTTTTGCTTTTGTCAACGTACAACCCCGTCTCCCGTATGGCTCCAACCTTCTGACCGAGCTTCATCCCCCAGGCTGGTTCTGAAAATAAAGCAATTGGTTCAAATTGAATGAATGAAAGAACGTTGGTGAGAAGCGGCTTACATTGGTACCGAAAGATTCGAAATAAATGATTCGATTCTTTCTCCATGCACTGTTTACGTACCTGGCCATGGTGCTGCGGAAGGAACAACAAAACGAGCTGGAACTTTCAAATCTCCGTAGGCTGCCTTGTAAAGTTGCAAGGCCAAAAAGACAGCCTTAAATTCTTTCTGATCGGACTTGCTCGATCCCGTAGATGACTTAGTTTCTGCGGACAAGATCATTCTAGACTGTCTTGTTGATAACGATGATTTCGAAGGAGTCCAAGTAGGAGCCATGAAAGACATTTTTTTACCTATCATTGACATGGACTGCAACTTCGCCGTCGCCCGTGTTCTGGATTTAATTCCTATTTGATTTTGTGTTTGAGTAAAGGCCGAAACTGAAGACACAACATAAACTGCAACAACTGTGGCTGTCATGAGCTTTGTGAAAGAGCTGAATTTCCGTGTTGCTGCTACTTTCGCGGTGGCGTTGGTTGTGGGAGTTGTTAATGACGGAAGACCAAATGTAAGTGGTGGTGCTTCGTTCATCTCACACTGCCGCTTGGTTTGTTGAGCACGATAGCCTGCCGAAGCATCTCTGCCCTCATTGTTTACTATTATCGGATGCATTGCCATACTTTCAAAGATAATAGATCCTCTAACACCGCTCGATTCGATTGTTCTGAGGTCAGGCGCTGTACTGACCGCAAACCAGCTATCCGTAGATGATGAATTTACAGTGTATGTGCCGCACGTAGTCGTAATTAATAGTATCGCAGTGGACTAGTGACAATCTTCTAGATGTATGGATGTTAGATGTTAGATGTGCTGTTATCAAAAAGACGAAGCAGGATAGTAAATCATACGGTAGTAGCGTTGAAATTCTATTATCCATCATCCAGTAGCCACCCATCATCGCATCATCACCAATCACCCAGAAAGTTCTTGCATCACACAAGTCAGAAATCGAAACAAATCCACGAGGTATGGCACGCTCTGCGCTCTGTCCATCACCCAGAAACCCCCTGGGCCCAGAAAATGAGTGTCAAACGAACGATTTTCTTGGACATCAATTTCTTTTCATTGTTGCTCATAACCCGTGCGTCATGACTAATCACGGGACTAATACTTTATCAATCACGTACGAAATTGACAACTTTCCCGGAGCCTCTTTGGTGAGGAAAAACTAAAAACTCACCTTTTGAGAAAGAGATGCAATTGCTTGCAGTATCAATCAATCAATCAATATCAAATCAGACGAGATGATTCAAATCAGATTAGACTGTTGTGCCTTCTACCAATAGCGAGCGATACATCCGCACCTAACCACGTACTCTAAGATGACAGAGGACAAATATGAATACGTATCCTACAAGGCACCAAAGACTATAGTAGCCGAAACAGTGTACCATTTTTTTCGAGGTGGTCTCTATGGTGCAGCATTTGGAATGGTAGGCTTTAAACTGTTGGTGAACGGGAGTTTTGTTGAACAATACCGATTGCCTCTTTAATGACACTCCTCTCGAATAATCTTACTTATGTTTGTTTAGGTTACCCCATTTTACGAAGCTGGAACGAAGGGTGCAATGCAAGAGGCAAAGACGGGTATATTCAAGCCGGCTCCAGTATTTGGGAGCCTATCCAGTGTTCCCTCAAACGCGCTCATATTTGGTTCTTTGTTGGCTGTTCAACGATTTGCGTGCAAATCGACGGAATTCTTGAGGGGGAAACAGGATCCGTGGAACGATATTGCCGGTTGTTTCGTCGCGTATCCGTACTACCAAACTTGCTTGACAAAGCATGCCGTGTTACATAATCGAGTCGTCGGAGGAATATTACTGGCGTCGATTGCCTTTGCCAATATTCCGTGATTAATTCGTTCAACTAGAATAATCAGAAGCCATCTAATGCGAGAAAAAGTGAAAGATGACGTCTTCAATGCATGCTGAGATGTGGAGAAGCACTTTGATAATACTTACAAGATAGAGTGTGTCGTTCCTTGCATTGTACGCATTGCTTGAGAGCACTCCTTCCATTCTCCCCAAATGATGAGGCGCAAGTAGTCAGTGAGCATTTCCAACTTCGATGATACAAACAATGGTTCCCATACAAAGTGCGGGGAAGGCGAAGAACATTGAAGTAAAACTTCTCAACACGGAAATTTTTTCGGCACATGAATTCGTTAACGATGTGACATTCCTTGCAGCAAGGGAGAAACGGTTACGCAAGAAACTGTGAAACATTTTGAGTGCTAACGAGAGTGTTCACAGCACGCCAAAACAAGCTTGATATATTTTTTTACATAACAACTGTTATAATAGCGCTGAATACTTTTACATTAGGGATGTTTCCGAGATCCAGAGATGCAGAATAGAATTCATAAAGCTTTATCAAGTTAGCTCTGTTTGTTACACGAGTAGATGATTCCACTGCGTACTACCAACCTGAATCCTGCATCAATAATTCATGTCTTATCCTTCAATCGAACTTCTTCTCTTTTTCTATCCCATTCTTGTTGCATTAGTTCTATCCTTCGATTCTGTTCAATCGCTTCTTGCTGAAGCCTCTTTTCGAAAGCCGTTCGATCTTTTTTATGCTGCTCGAGTGTCTTTTGGTGTTGAGCTTCACGCTGAACTTGGGTTCGCTGCAGATTGTCCATTCGACCTGCAAAGACCTTTTTGGCGCGTTTGAGATTGTTTTGGAAATCTTGGTCCAACTTGCGTAACTCGGCAGCACACACTTCATCAGTAGGCTCGTATTCGAGGCTGGTGTCGATGGATAGCCCTTCAAGGACTCCAACAATTTCACCTTGGCTGTTACCCCTTTGATGATGTGCTAGCGAAGCTGACATTCCTTTACTTTTGGTCGTCGTCGAAGGGCCAGTAGTTGCTACTATGCCTTGACTCCTAAGTTTGCGAGATTCAGGTTTCTGAACAGCCGGGACGTGAGGAATTGGCACATTTATAGAATCAGGACCCGTTGAAATACGTTGTCCCTGAGGTGGTCCCTGATTTGAGGGTACCTGGTATTCTGCCATGTGAGCGTTAGATCGATTTGGCTGCGGGTTTAGCGCATGACTAGAATGCGTTGCAGGCTGCTGCTGCTGCTGCTGCTGATGGGGATCCATCTGTTGCGGTAAGCCTTGCTGCATGAGATGCTGCGGTTTCGTTACCGGCTGCTGCTGCGTCGTGGAAGTCTGGTGATTCATTTGGAGCTGCAGTGTCTGTGGACGTTGAACATCATTTTGCAAATGCTGTTGCTGGGGAATATTTTGCATCTGTTGAACTGGTTGTTGAATTGACTGTTGTCCAGGCTGCTGCACCATTTGCGGTTGCTGCTGCTTCGGAAAACTTTGTGTCCGTTGCATGGAAGGTTGCAGCTGCTGATGTTGAGGATATCCTTGACCCAGGCCCTGAGAACCACCATGAATTTGTTGGTTTTGAATATGCTGAGGCTGTTGCAGACTGGAAGGCAAAGTTTGCTGCCCAGAACCTACTTGTTGTGCCACATGGGCAGATGGTTGCTGAACTATGTTCGGGGGATATTGAACGGCTTGAGGCTGTCTCTGACTAGGCGCTGCTGGTGGATAAGTAGCTCCTGATGGGTTTGATTGAGAATCGTGGGTCCCATGAGTTTGCTGCGACAACCGTTGCTGAGTTACTTGAGAACGACTGCTTTGAGAAGAAGTACTCTGTGTTGGTAGTGAGGGGATAGGCGGAGGTAGAGGAGATTGACCATACGGTGCCAGGGGGTGTTTCGCTTCAGACGAAACATGCCCTTGATGGTGGTATTTTCCATTCATTTGTGCCTGCTGATGCTGATGCTGATGATTATGCCTATGGTTCGGTGCCTCCATTTGAGGATTTATTTCCATTCCACCCTGCACATATGGAACAGGAGCTTGGTGCAGAGACTCTGCATCATTAGTTTGTGTCCTAGCGCGTTGTTGCTGAATATGTTGCATCTGAGGAGGGATTGAAGTATTGTCAACTATCTGTTGCCCATGCATGGCAACTGATTGATCTTGACGTGTCAAACTTTGCTGTTGAATCGGATGAGCTGAAGGTTGCTGCATTTGTTGTTGCTGCGAAGGTAGGTAGTCTTGCATTGTCTGCTGCTGGCTTGCGGATTGCATCATAGTCTGCCCCATGTGTTGCTGTTGTTGGGCCACAGCGGTTTGCCCAATTTGAGGCGGTTGTGAAGTTGAAGTCGATATAGTACTAATGATCGAGTTGCCTCTTGTATGACCAGGAGTTTGTTGAGCCTTTGCCGAATGAAACTTGTGCTTCTTTGTCCTCGCGACACGGGCGAGCCCAGAGACTGTCTCACTTACTTCCAAGACAGCTTCTTCGGGAATATTGAGTTCAGCAACCATTTCTTTAGCGACTTGAATTGGATCGTCTTCAACGAGATCGAAATCAAATTGTACATTTTGGGTTTCACCTTCAACGGGAAGAGTAATCACAAGCTTCAAGATATCATCATGATACGGTGGCTGCTGTTGAAAAGAGTTGTTTTGCTCGTTCTCCTCAATAACAGCAGCTGCTACCAGATAATGAAGCTTTTTCCCATTCGCATCGGTGCTGTGTTGCAAATTTTGCAACGATGATATGCTACCAACCTCTACCGAAGAGTTCACGTCCATTGTGCTCTGTTTCTTATTATCAGAATCGGCTTCAACAACGCCGTCATCTTCTTTCAGTTCTTCTCCACGACCCATCATCACCTTAACTTTCTTCATGTTATTCACCTCACTGTCGGGCATTTCTTCAAATCTATCCGATTCTTCTTCCTCCATGGAATTCTGACGCAAATGTCTCATCGCTGGAGAAGAGCCTTTGCTAGGTGTCAAAGAGCTCTGCGACTGCGATGGGTTAGTAGATGTCGTTGTATTTGCATTCGCAACCTTCGATTCCGTTGATCTTTCGCTACTTCTCGTGACCGTCTCGAGAATAGTCTGCTCATTTATAGGTGGATCAACTTCAACCTCTTCGTCATCGACAGCCCTTTTGACTAAGAAAGGATGATCAATAAGTTCCTTTGCACTCGGTCGCACGTACTTCCCATCATCAGTTCTGTATCCAAGACACAATTCGATGAACTTTCTTGCGTGTGTGCTTTTCAGCCGACCCAAAGAATCCGGCGGTGCACCTCGCGTAACCTTCTTGTATATTTGAGCTGGATTCGTGCATTCCTTGTAGGGTATTTCTTTTGTAAAAATCTCTAGTAGACACATTCCGAACGCGTAGATGTCAACTTTTTCGTCATACGAACCTTCTTCATACATATCTGGTGCCATGAATTCCGGTGTCCCAAGAACACTCAGCGCCTTCCCGTTTCGATGGACAGTGCTCAGTCCTAGATCTCCGATTCGTAGATCACCACTTGTACCATTTATAAAAATATTCTCGCATTTCAAATCACGATGGATCACTGGTGGATCTTGTGAATGCAAGTATTCAAGACCTTTCAATATCTGTACCGCCCAGCGCTTTGCGATCTTCCAACGAATTACTTGCACTTTGTTGATGAAAGATTTGAGTGTTCCGGAGGACAAAATTTCGGTCACAAAATTGACTTGTTGCTGTTCTCTATTGATCCAGGACCCATGAAAGCTGATGATATTTTGGTGGTGCAATCTTTCCAACAGTCGCACTTCGTTGACAATGCGATTTCTTTCGTTCTTGGGTACACCCGCAAGATGCACAACATTCCAAGCAACTTCGATACCTTCTTCCGTATCATAGGCTCTATAAACATCTTTCGAAGCTCCACTGCCTAGTTTTTCACTAAATCGTACGTATCTTTCGCCGGGTGATCGTTCCACAATCTGATTCTTCACGTTTTGACTGGTCAACAATTCCTGCAAGTGCGATGCCTCGTCCACCGATCCCATTCTTTCCAGACTGATATCAACGGCACCGCTGGGCGGAGCAGGGGGGGTAGCCATGTTGACAACGGGTGCTGGTGCTGATGCCACACTTTCCGCTTCGTCGGATTTCGTGTTATGCATCTCCGCAACAGTTGCCTGGTGTTCTTGAGATGACGGCATGGACTTTGCCTTGTCTCTATCTTGGGTACCGATTGGAAGTTCTCGAGGTAATGATTCGATTCCTTCGTCCACGCTTCGGCCTCCGGGCGCAACAGATTCTTTCTCCTTGACTTCTGTTTTCATCGTGCCTGGTTCTACCGATGCGTCTTCAGGTATTCCTGCTGCTCCCGGTTGAGCTTGTCGGGTCGCGGTGTCTATTGCGGTGTTGGCTGAATTCTGTGTTTCATTCTGTCCGTAGGGTGTCGCATCGCCTTGATCTTTCGATCTTGCAGACCCAGCAGCGGTTTGGAAAAAACTCGATTCAGATTTCTCGCGTTCTTCCGTAGAATCAGTACTGACCTTTACGTGATTGTCGAGAGAACGAGGAGCCGAAGATTTGTCACTGGTCGCCATGGTCTATCGGCTCCGAATCGAATCCAATCGACACACTTCGCAACACCAAAATGCGACGCCTATGGTCTTTCGGACGGCCAGCAGTACGAGTAATCAACGCAGCACACAAAGGCAGAGAGAGACCCTCTCGGGGGAGAGTGGGAAAAGGAGTGTGATGATTGCAGTATGATTACTCTGTGGTTACTTCACGGAAAAACACTCTAAGAGCGGAGATTGTTGCGTCTCGTTCTAAAGTTTCGAGTTGTGTTCAGTTTGACAGGGTTGTTCGGAGAAACGTATGACTTTTTCCGGCCATGAGAGATCCTTTCGGGTGTAGAAGGTGAGTCTCTTTCGTGCTTGCCTTCTACTTTGCCGTACGGTAGTTCCGGTTCTGAAGGCTATCAAGCAGTGCGCAGAGCTAGAGAAATCGCGTGCCTTTTCACGTCCAGAAAAAGTTGTACTGGTGCTTCGTAGTACGAAAGCAAAAATAATAATAATGCCTGGCACTAGGAATTCGTCCTTGCAATTCAGTCACTTTCTGATCGCGATAACTTACGCTACTGTACGGTACGAGAGAGTGCCTTGCTGTACCGTACGTATGGTGACATAACACACAAATAATGTTACTGTAGTACCATACAGTTATCTACAGTAAGGTAGTACTCGTACTCAACCCTGGTGAACGAAGTTCGTACCAGTATCACAAAACAACGTTGCTCCAGATGAAACATGTTAAAAAATCAATACTCTCGCATCGCGTGCCTTCCCTGCGAGCAAAAACCTCGAAGGCGTGCGCAGGAGGCAATACAGAAATGAGTTCGGCTGGCTCGATCGACGAGAGAAAACATGGTTGAGGGAACTCAACCGCATAGAGCCATACCGAATGATTCAGAAAATAGCAGTATGGTACGGTACCGGTACATGAGTTTCTAACGTCACAGGGTGGCGTGGGTGTATGAGTTCGTACAGGTACGATTACATACGTAAGTATTTGTACCTGTAGATTGCAGGGAGAATGTTTCTCCTCCCATTCGTTCGTTTTTGTCCTTCCTCCTGCTATTTGTACTGTTTTTTTATGCCTGGAACGAATGGCATCATAAGTCATAAAAGTGGTGGCTTGTTACTTTTGAAGCTCATAACCTATCCAGATTTTGTACATTTCATTTGGTTTTTGTTCATCGTAACGGGATTCAACCAATACCGCTGCATTTTTCTTCCTTCATGTTCGACGTGAACCGTGACCTGTGATGTTGGTATTGTACCGTATGCACTTTGTTTTGTATGGACTCGTCTACTATTACCAGTAAGTACTGTACTCGACAAGTACCAGGTACCAGCACGATAACGTGAGTTGAAAATAAGAAAGAAGTGAACAAAACAAAACTTTGTCATTGCAGTATCACAGTCAAGGCAAATTTTGATACCAGACAAATAGTCTGAAAGATCATAACATGCCCGATTTTTCAAGTGAAGGATTTGATATTGATGCAAGTGGAGGGAATACCGATGACGTAATATTCGAAATAGGCGGCGGAAGCACTGTGGTCCCAAAAGTAGAAGAAGCGGAAGCGCCAACATCCCAAGCTCCCTCCGACACACCTCCGAGTCTCCTGGATCAAGCAGAAGAGTGGAAGCAGCGTGGTAACGAGGAATTCAAAAAGAAGAACTACCTGGAGGCATATGATATGTATACGAATGCCATTGAAGTGTGTCCGTGTCCTGTAACAGTGGACGATATATTGAGACAACGCGACGAGTTCGACGAGATGGAACGAGAAAAGATGCGACTAAGAATGGAGGAAGAAACACGGCAAAGAAGGAGAGACAGCTCCAAAAAGCCCACCAATAATGACCCAAAAGAAGAGAATACTAAAACTCAGTCGAGTTCTGCGGAAAACACGGAAGGTCCACGAACTTTTGAATTGGAACCACAAGAACACAGTGAAAAACTTGCAATATTCTTGAACAACAGATCTGCATCTCTCATCCAGTTGGAACGGTTCGAGAATGCAATACTGGATGCAGACGTTGCCATTTTGCTGAATCCAACATATGTAAAGGCGTACATTCGTCGTTCGTCGGCCTATGAAAAAACAGAACGAACCGAAGAAGCACTCAGAGATATGAAACGAGCTCTGGAACTAGAACCATCAAACGCAACGGTTCGAAGGTCTATGATGCGACTTCAAAAAATGGAAGACGAGAGACTTGAAAAATTAAAGGTATGAAATGACTGATGGCCAGATAATCAACGTGCCCCGTTTTGAGAGTCATCTCGTGTTGACTCAATTATTTTTTTGTTTCGTAATTAACACCCGTGTGCAGGAGGAGACTATGTCGAAGCTAAAAGACCTTGGAAATTCGTTGCTCGGTAATTTTGGCTTGAGCTTGGATAACTTCCAAACAGTTCAAGACCCAAACACAGGTTCTTATTCTATTTCTTTCAATCAAAATAAATAGATCAAGTAAAAGCAATGATGCACGTAGAAAAACGAATTATTGAAATTTTACGATGCGTTTCTTTTCTACAATTCATTGGAATAGAATGCCCTTTTGACTTCGTGAAAAGAACCATGAACCTTAACGCACTTTCTCGTTGCAATAAACCATAGATCGATTGAATTAACTCGGATCGATTGACTTGACTGCCTTACTCCTTCTAGCTAGATTAACTCATTCTTTTTAATAAATTGAATCCAGCCTGCAGAAATAAATTTCAATTAAAACGAATTCCGGACAGAACTAGTCGTTGGCGAGGAAGTCTCCATCCTTAGTCAGACTTATTCGACGAATCATTGCTTGATTGAGGCGGTGGCTGCTGCTGTTGGGATTGCTGGCTGTACTGTTGTTGGGTATTTTTACTGCCATTATTGCTGTTGCTGTTGTAATTTGATCGCCCACGTCCTCCTCGTGGTCCGGTACGACCACTGCGGCCTCGGCCTCCTCGACCACCATTGTTGTTTCTGCCTCCACGGCCACGACCTGCGTCGTCCATGATAGGATACCCCATGTGACTTGATGGTGGGTATGGCATATGCCCATTTGGTGTAGCACTATAATATGGAGCACCATTTGGACCACGCATTTGCATGTTTGGTGGCATACCTCCTGGTTGCATCGGATAAATGCCGTATTGTGGTACCCCTGGACGACCACCTATTTGTTGCGGACCACCTACAAACTGAGCATATCCCGGTCCACGCGGGGGCATTGCCATCCCTGGTGTGAAATAGGCATTTGGCTGAAATTGTACAGGCATTTGCTGCTGTTGCTGCGGTGGGCCTTGGGGTTGGACAGGTTGGTCCGGTTGCTGCTGCTGAGAACGTTGCGGTGGCTGCTGCTGCCCACTCCCTTGCGTTTGACTCTGCGATCCTTCGTCTCCTTCTCGGGATGGACGCGCCGGGTCCTCCTCGCTGGCGTTGGCATTCCCGCTACTAGAACCACCACCAGTCGTTGGTGTGGGTGCGTTTCCACTGTTTGGAGCTGATGAGATTGAGGGTGTGGCTTGCGCTTGCACGTGCGGCCCTTGGTGTTGCATCTGTGACATGTGTTGTTCCATGCCGTATGAAGACGCATATCTCATGCCCGCATATTGAGGATTCATCATTGACATCATGCCTGGTCAAGTATTAATATAGAAGAAGATGTTAGCGATTTGCAATACCCGTCATAAGAAAAATAATCGATTCAACTGAAAATGAATACGCACCTGGTTGACCCATGGGACCAGTCGGCATATAATGCGGAGGCTGCATCGGATGCCCACCTCCATACATCTGCATACCAGGATCTCCACCTGTATGCTGCGAAGGAGCTGGTGGTGTAGGGGTACCAAATGAAGGGGTAAAAGTCTTAGCGGCTGGATTAAAAGTAAACGACTTGGCGTTGGCATTAAGCTTGCTCGATTTTTTAACATCTTTCTTTTCTTCTTTTCCTTTCGTTTCGTCGCTGTCTTTCTCCTTTTTGTCTCCAGCGGGTTCGGGTTTGTCTTTTGGAGATTCCTCATCCTTCGTCGACTTAGATTCGGAAGCTTCAGTTTTGACTTCGGTTTTCTTTGAGTTGGCTTTCTCTTCCTTCGACGACTTGTTCTTTTGTTTCGTTTTGGCATTTTCTAGGTTATTCTTTTCGGGCGTCGCAATAGCTTTGGCTGAGTCCTCCACCTTGTCTTCTACCTTACTATCCTTATCCTTGGTAGTGGATGTAGCAACTGCAGCATTGTTATCCGAAAATCCAGGGGGTGCCATCTTATCCTTCGTTGTGTCAGCTTTTGCAGCCGCAGCCGCGTAATTCATGATCTTCTTGGGTGCAACCGACGTGGAAATGGCTTGTTTTGATGGCTTGGAACCAGATTTACTTTCCTCTTCACTACTAGCCTGCTTGGAATATATCTTAGCGTGTCTCTGTTTTCCGTCTTTGGTCAATACGCCAGAGTACCTGTCTTCTTCATCAAAATCAGTCTCGACCTTAAACCCGCGCTCTTCTGCCATGTGTATGTTTGTGGTTGCCTTACTTTCGATCTCTCTCGCGATTCGCTCCGCAGCAGCCTTCTGCTTCGAATCTATTTGGGATTTATCGAGCTCCGTGGTATAAAGATTCTCGTTATACGATGGTTTTACGTTGATCAGGTCCTGGTTCGCCTCAAACTGATCCCAAACCCCAATCGACCCCCCAATCGCTCCCATTGCAGCAGACGCCGCTAGAGAGCCTTGTTGGTTGTTTCCGCCACTAGAATCACCCGCCAGAGCGGCTGCACGCGAGTTCGTACCTTTCATCATGCCGGGTCCTTGGTTTCTATAACCACCACTGCTGTTTCCACCAGCCGTCCATGCATTGCCGGCAGCAACCAACTCCTGCTTGCTGCCACTAGCGTTGCCAGAAATCTGCGTGTCAGTAGCAAAAGCCCCTTTGGACATCATTCCACTCGATGCCCCATTCATGTTTCTACTACTTGTGAGACTAGAAGCAATATCCTTTGCGTGCAAGTATTCAACTTTGGAGGCAGGGACGATCAACGTGATTCCATCCTTCATTTCGGTACCAGTCTTTGGTTGTTGTCGAATGAGAATTTCCTTCAGCACGTAGCGGTTTCTCTGATCGGGTTGCAAACTCGAAAACGGGGTAAATGTGTGGAAAATTCCCTCCACGATGGCGCCATTAGTCTGTTGCAGAACGACTTTTTGGCCCACGAGGGTAAGACTCAGATCGATGAGGCGTTTGCGATTCTGCACTATCACAGAGGGTGAAACAAACGAGGACTGTGATGGCGCAGCCGATGATTTGGTAAAACCCGGAGGTTCCGTGGTTCGCAACGGGCGCGTCCAGGCATTAGTCGGAGCGGCAGATTTCCCTCCATTGCTGTTTGAGGCCAAACGAGAAAACAAAGGAACAAAAGTAAATTGTATGAGAATCTAGGTCGTGGACACGTGAAACAGAAGCCATGCGTCCTTATCGGGAGTAGCTGTTATCTCGGCAATCGGGTCCTACCAAACGTGGGCGTTGCGCATATCTCTGCGTTCGATACACCTTGTTGTAAGATCCTTCGCTTGTAAAAGAAATTGAAGTCACAATGACACGATTTTTCCTAGAGCTGGTTCTCAACGTTATTCCAATTGATACAACACTTACCCAGATTTTTTACCTTCTTTTCTAGACATGATACAATACAGTCTAAACTTAATCCGACAATGATCGTTTTCTAATGTAAGGCACTGATACGCGACACTATCCAAAAAATACCGATATCAAGACAGTTCTGCTTGCTTTGAAGAAAGCGATATCGAAGCCCAGCTTGTTGAAATAAGAAAAATACTTGGTATCCTTACTTGATTTCTGCAGTGTGGTCTTTGCTTCATGAACGAGACGATTCCGAGTAATGATGATCTTCTGGTTCCTGTCACGAGAGAATGCAGTAGAAATAAGCAGTCTTTCGTGTCTGTGACGAGACTCCCGCATGTACCGGTACGAGTACCGTGCCCTTGCAGTCCTCTACTCGTACAGCGCTCCGGTACCAAAAAATGCAATGGGCTACCGGTAGCAGTGCCGATGAGGCACAAGTTCGCCCAGCTAGAACCGCCGGTACGATCTCTGGTGAAGCGTACAGTAACTGGTAGTACGTACCGAACTGGCCGCACGGTACTACCGGTACGTACTGGAACTCTTCTGTACTTGCGTACGGTATCGTGCAACCTGGGGTTCGTAGCTGTAGCATGCTCTTGAAACTCCTGGAAGGGTGGTGTGTACCGGTTACTAACGTAAAGAATGGGAACTTCTCACAATAAACGGTAACTATTAGAGTTAAGGGTAAGTTACGTTACAACTCGGAGATTTTCGGCAACCACGGTGAGGTGCGAGTACGAGTTCAACCAGGGGTCATAATTTAGAGGGGTGGGCAACGCATCGAAAACTCATGTTCCATCTGTGGCAGGAACAAGAAAATTTTACCCCAGGGATTTTTTTCAATTTCATTTTTACTGCATAATACTAATAGTAAATCTACTATTCAACCTTTAAGCAGTAACAACATTATCAAAATACTACCATTAGAATTTTTGAGTACACTGCCTAGCCCAGTTTTTCATGAGAATTCTGAATATGCAAATAATTTCAGTGTCAAATGAAATAATAGTGTACCTCTTCACTGTTGAATATTGACTAGATTATTAGTAGTACTAGTAGAAGAAATTACTACTGGGGAAGTAGTGGTGGGTGCAAGAAATGGATGAAGGACAGATAGTTCGAATTTTTGCTAAGGACTRGACTGGTGGGACTGACTGGACAAAGGACAGATTATTTCTACTGTAAATGTAAATACAGTACTAGTATTTACTAGTCTCTTACTACCACCAGCTGCCCTCCTATGTCAGCACCTTAGCATGTTTAAACTGCAGACAGCAATAACAGTGAAAATATACTTACTACTTGCCTCTCAACAATGTGAGAGATGTGCATGTGAAGTTTGAAGATTAGAGAGTGATTAGAAGTGTTCCTGTGCATGGGGTCTTTCAGGTACACTTTTTGCAGTGATATCATGGAGTAAAAATGAAATTGAAAAAAATCCCTGGGGGTAAAATTTTCTTATTCCTGCCACAGATGGAATAGGATCTTTTTGTCCTGATGCTGAAAAATGTATGCGTTGCACACCCCTCTACATTTATGACCCCTGAGTTCATCAACAGTTCTGTCTGTAAGGGGTAGTAGGGAACCTACCAGGTTCTACACACAAAAAAATTAGATACAACCTGCACTCACCAAACAAATCCACCTCAACATGACCATAGGAATTTGGAATTTCAATATCTTCACAACAAAAGCATTTTAAAAGAAGCCTAGGAAACCATTGAACAGCACTCACTCTTCTTAGTGTTAAGATTGGTGAATATCCTTCTAATGGTTGAGGGAGGAGAACTTGTATTCTTTTAACTAGTAGTACTAGTAGTACTACCACTGATCTACAGAACTACCATTGATCTACAGTATTGGGTGATTCCTGTTATTCTTAATACTCTAAGGTGCTAAATGTAGGGATCTAGGGTTTTTAGATTAATGGAAATCAAAATTTCAACGGACAGACTGAGAGGAAGCCTGCCTAGTTCTTGGTACAAAGAAAAACAACGGACTGGAAAATTTTATTCGTGGGTAATTTTATTGCTTCACAAGATTCTTGACAAATGCAATCAGACTCAACAAGTTTAGTAGGTTCTACAACTCAGATAATTTGAGAGTGCAGAACACCATGGCATAATCAGCAAAAGAACTCTTTGATGTGAAAACATAGGGGTAAAAGGCTTGGGCTTTGAACTGGGATAATGTTGTTGCCCCCAATTTTTCAAATCTTAATTTTAAGTTTGACTCATGAAGAACTACTGGAAGAGGAACTAGTGAGCCAAAGGAGGCACCACTGTTTCTTGAGAGAATGATACTTTGAGTCTTCAGGTTTCAAGCTTGTTGCTCTGGAAAATACAGGAGAGGTTGCTTGTTTCCAAAATGCCAATTTGCAACCATCATCAATTGCACATTCATTACCACCACACCTAGAATGTTTGCATCGATCATCTAGATAAAAAAACCCACTATTAAGGAAGCATGGAACTCAACTTCAGCATATGTTCCTGGTCTGTTGGTGTCCATGTGGTCTGGTATAACAAATAAAGAGAAGAGGTATCTGTTGTACCATGTTGCTTCCCATGTGGTAGCATTTTTAAATGGTGTTTTTGGACATATATGTTGATTTTCCAAACTCCATCTGTTCCACAAATATGAAATGCCTCTGACCCAATCCCGGATGCTATCCAATCTAAGAATGTCAGAACCTCATTAAAGAAAGGGACATCAATTTTTCTACTTCAATCAGAGAGCAATATTCCTCTTGTTCAATATTCTGCAGAAGATTTTGGTCTGCCAGGACCAAGTCTCCCGTCATATTTGACAAATCCAAATGACAGACCAAGATCGTCACCTAACAACCTACAATCTATATGATTCAGCCAGAGTTGAGCAATGATTCTGTAATTTCTGAATTGCACGGTGGCAGCTGGTGGAGGACCTCATGGGATAAAATTTGCACCTCCAACTCACAAATCCTTGTTCATTATATCGAGCTCTGGGGACCTCCAGCTGGTTGGAATTCTGCACCAAATGAGAGTCACCACAAAACAGAAATAAAGGGACCATCAAAAAACACAACAGCCAATTCCTTTCTATAATAAACCAAACTACACAGAGGAAGTCAGAGAGGATGATGATCAGTGCTGCCACTCATTACCACAATCTACAGGAGTTGTCAGAATGATCCCTAGAGGAAGAATGCCCTGAAGAAGCTGGTTCTTGTTTGAGATCATGAAGGAAAACGAGGGCAGACCAACAATGAATTGGAAGAGAGAAAAGAATAAAAACAAAACATTTCTCCCTTCTGTCATCCTTGACTTTGTCTGCAACCAGGTGCTACCTCTACTGAATGATGGTGTATTGAAATTTACTGGTTTCACTGAGCACAATCGCTATGACAATGTCCGTGGCACTAGATTTCTGTTCTGTTGTCATCCTTCTTACTGTTCTGGCAATAGACAGCTGAATTCTGTTTGGATGGATTAGTGTATGATGGATAAGGGAGACAGATTCCAAGGGTGCTTGTGGAGTTGTTCAATGCTTTGACAATGTCCCAGCAAAGACAGCATCTGTCTTTATAATGCAGGAAAGGCTTGCCAACAGGCTTTATTTATTTCCTGTAGATACGATCCAATCAGAGGAGCTTACAGTAGTACCAGAGCTAGGTCCTGATGGAAAGATTGATGGCTCTTGTTGGTTGGTCATATCCAATTGAGTGGCATGGGTTGACCTTTTTACAAATCAAATGCTACCATCCCATCTCTACCATCACTATTTAATTCACATGCTCTAAAGGAAAAAATAGAGGATGACCACTCTGGTGATGACAATGACAGCAATGGCTATGATTTTGACAACAACAATGATGGTGCATCGTGACTATTGATTAGTAACAATAATAAGACAATGACAATTAACAATGATAGCAACAAGTAACAAGAATGTTGTCACAACCTATTTAGTTACAATTATATTTATCTCTTGTTTGTCAATTAATATTTAATAAATTTACTGGAGCCACTGCCAGCCATATCAATTCTGTACTTCTTCTGTAAGTTTTTGTAAGATGACAAGAATTCAATCTTGCTCTCCAAGGCATACCTCTGACCATTTTGGTCTCTACCAAAAGAGTCATAGTGGAGACCCACAGCATGCTGAACTAAAGTTCTATTTGTAACAGCAGAACCATGTTGAAAAAGATACTCATATTGCTTCTCCTCAAGATTGTATCCAATATCTGTAGAGACCAATATCTCCTTTGCCCTCTTCAAATTCTGAAACTCTTGTGCAACAGCTCCCGGAACAATTACAATTCTACCAGAAAACCATTTTTGTTCCAATGCATAAAGGATTTGTGCCGCAACAATCTTCCATTGTGTCAACTGTACAAATACATCTTGGAAATCCTTCTTGAAAAAGACTTCCTTTGGGAACTAGTGAAAGAAACCACCATCTTGAGGCACAGTATAATTCCAACTCTTGACATCACCATCTTTGTTGATGTAAGCAATGAGAATCTTTTTACCTTGAGGAATCCAGAACATACCTCTGGCATGCCTTGGGCACACCTTTGGTTGATTTAACAACTCCATAAATACTGGTGTAGGTACCTTGAAATCTCTGTTAGATCCTGAGACCTGGCTTTGACTCAAATTGTTATCTTTTGTTAGGCTGCTTACAACTCAATACAACTCATCAACAACAGATTCTCTGATGGCAGATCCATGCAATCCATGAAATTGACAAAGTAACAAGTTTCCTTTTTTGTCCCTGTGTTGTCCATCTAGGTACCCAACAATAATAGTGACATCAATGTGATGATGTGCTTCCTCATAGTAATTGTCAGAAAGAAGATGCAACTTTGCAATGTCATCTGGAGTATAGTAACAAGGCACAGCATCCTTCTTCATGGAGTGTCTGTGAACTCCACAAATGAATCATAGGTTCTGTCCCCTCAAGTTTTGTACCACCAAAAGGACCAGAAGACCAAATGTCTCCCTCTGGACAGGAACAACCTTTGCAAACGCAAAGGATTCTATCACACTAGGGTGACTGGTCCATTGTTGAGCATACTTTTCTGCCAGCACAGTTTGTTTTTAAATGTTCAAATTTATCCAAAGCAGCAAGTTCTCCAATGGCCATGCCTATTTCAAGCTTGAGTAGGGTGCATGGTAGGTTCTAGTTGCTAGGCTGGTGCCAAGTCTGGTGCTGAGCCTGGCACCAAGTCTGGTACAGAGTCTAATGCCAAGTCTGGTGCTGAGCCTGGTGTTGAGTAAGGTGCAGAGCTGGCAAGATATTGAGCAGATGCAGGATTTGGAGCAGACATAGCAAAGGAGCGGTAGTTTTGCTGGTGCTGGTGGTGCTTGCAATAGTTCTGTCTGAATAGGAGATTTACTGGCCCTTGCACAACTATCGTTGTATCTTGGCAACAATCAACTCAAACCTGGTGAAGTGATGACACCTTGGCATGATCAATCCCTTCAATTCTGTTGTGTTTCAGATTCAGTAAAAGACAAATTATGAGACTGCAATACCTTGAGATAGCTTGCAGCAGTGATATACAGTGAAATAGCTTGAAATAGGTTGAGAGAATGATTTTTTGATGGAAAACAACAACTTCTCAACAACTTTGATGTAAAAAGGGTTGCACAAGTAATTTGGACCCAGGTTTGCATGTTGGCTCTCTACGAACATCCAATGTGTCCGGCTTTAGTAGCAAATACTGCACAGGAGCATGTAAGATTCAATAAATATTTCTCCACCCCCAAGTAGCCTTTATCGCTCAAAATAGAGCTACATGTTGCACATATATCAATATTTATCATACAGGCTGTGCCTGGCTTGCTGATGCTGCAGATATAGAAGCATTTGGCTCTCTAGGGATGTCCAATGCATCTGGCTCTAGTAGCAAATACTGGACATTGGCATCAAGATCCAATAAGTATTTCTCCACCCCTAAGTAGCCTTTCTTGTTCAAAATAGAGCTACATATTGCACACTTATCAATATTTATCATACATACTGTGCCTGACTTGCTGATTCTGCAAAAATTGAAGCACTTTGCTCTCTACCATGATAGTTTGTAGCCATAGATACTATGAGGTACAGTTAGTCCTATGGTACTTCTCATTTGCTGTCTTTGGAAGACAAGAGATCCTTTCCCTACTACTTATCTATTAGGGGCATCTGTAATCACTAAAATATCCATACTGATAGTACTAGGAGTAGTTCTCAACAAACAAGCAGTTGGACTACTGCTACTACTGTACTGATAGTAGCAGAAATATGTCACCAGTTGCACTTCTAAGTAGATGTCAACATCTGCACCAACAAGACCCATCCATCAGCACAGCTTTCTTCAAAGAACATCTACTACCACCACCACCACCACCACTAGTAGTACTAGTAGTAGCAGCAGCAGCAGCAGTAGTAGAAGTATAAAAGTAATGGTAGACCACCAACAACATATAGTGACCACCAATGATGAAATACAAAAGAATCATGGCATGTGATCCAGAAGTAGGATTGTTCAGTTCTTATATATCTTTTTACAGTTTGTAATTAGAACTAATAAATTCAGAAAAAAAACAGGCACCAGTACTACTGTTTCTTTCCAGTTTGATTGCTACAAATACTACTACCTACTACTAGGACGCCTGTCACCAGCCTCACTGTGAATTCACACTCCTTGTCTACTCAATTGATGGAATGGAAGGCTCTGAGGCAGTTGCAGCTTGAAAACAGCTTGCCTCCAGGCTTTCTTCCAAGTGGGAGAGGAACTACTCTCAAGTATGTGGCCTAGCCAGATCTACAATTCAATTTGCACTGGCAAGGGCTGCAAGCAGATGCTTGAGGGGCACTTGTGATGCCAGATTGAAGTTTAATTAGTTCCTTGATTGGATCTCTCACTCTGGCATTCAAGTGCATGCTTGTTAATACAGTCAGATTCCATCTTGTCTAGCTCAAAGAGCTCAGAAATGCTGGACAAACAACAAAAATGTCAGATCCCATCACCCCCTGTTATTTGTTTGCATTTTGATTATGGTTTCCAACTTGATTGCTTCGGGTTTTTCACTGTACTGTACTATGTTTGTACAATAGTTTTTAGCAAAACTATGGCGTGACCCTTAATCACATAGTAAACAAAACCTACTACTACTACTACTACTTAAAGGTGTTCATCCTTCTCCCAATAACCTCCTGGCTTGTCAAACACTGCTGGAACATAACATCTTCTTGTGGCCAGTTCTCCTTTAGATTTTCCTCCTTATTCCAGTACCCCTTCCTGGGTTTCTCTTTTCTTTCAAGACATTCCTTTTTCCTCAACCAATATTTTTTTCCTGCACTTTGTGGAAGTCATCATTGTAGCAGACGCGGCAAAGGGTAACATTTCAGCCGCGGCAATACAACAAATTCTTTCCCTCTTTCCTAAAACCTTGACATATGGGAAGATCACATTTCTTCTTTAGCATGGCCTCAATTGGTATGTGATCAAGGGATCTGTCTAGCCTTTGCTGGGTAACAAGTTTACCACCCATTCCAACTATGATATCATTTACAATGGATCCAGGTACATTTCTAGCAGTCTCCCTGTCTCCCAGTTGGAGTGTGTGAGCATTGAGACCTGCAGTTTATTGATGGCTTGGGTTTGTAGGTCTGTCAAATGAAAATATTCCAAATGTCCATCTTCTTGCCTCTAGTCTCACTTCTATTTCTTCCTTGTCCTCTGTTCCAGGGCAGAATAGAGCCCACTCCAGTTTATCACCATACCATGCCCTCCTAGTATCTCTATTTTCATTGATGACTGGTAGAAAAGTTTTTGCAGCTGGGGGCTTCACAACAGGTGTCTCTAGGATGTCATCACTATCATCCTGTTTGGCATCTGTGTTGGAGTTGGAACTGCTTTTACTACTACTATCTGACAAGTTGTCAGAATCATAGACATGCAGGAGAAGCTTGTCATGCAACTGTTTCAAGTCTCAATACCACTAACATGGGCACAATAACGCTCTGGAAGCCAGCTCCCAGATCCCAACCACCCCATGTGTGGAACCCAGCATTCACTTTCTGGATCTAGTTCACTTCTTTACTTTGTCATGATAACAATTGCAAATGAGTGTCAATTGATGCTTCAGACTGTCAGATTGTCTCTTGTTGCCCCCAGCACCCATTGACACCTCCAGCACCCATTGGCGCTTATGTATGACTTTGCACAGAGCACAGTAGGGCTAGTAGTCACATGTTCCTAAATTGGTTCAATTAAGTCAAAAAAGCAGACCATATCCAATCATTCTTGCAAAAAGTGGCGTGACATGGTTGGCTTGCATGGAATGCACCCCAGACATAAAAAATGTTGGCTTGGTGGCACCTTTGATAGTAGGTCTAGTACTGGAGCTATTCTTCTTGGGCTTTCTATTGTTGTAATCTGGCTTGGGGAGGCCCTTACCACAGTGTAGTTTACAAGCTGTTCCTTCATTGTTTGTTGCTGCATAATCTGAAGCATCATTTGTCTGATGGGAAGAGCATCTGCAATAGCATCACTATTTTTATTGACGTCAGTGTCACTGTTATCATTGCTAGAATCAATTGTGACTTTTGGAGAACCTTTTTATCCCTAGTAGTTTCCTCTATCCTTGTTTGTGCAAGCTCTTGTTGGTTGTTGATCCACCATTGATGACATCTCTTCTCAAGGATGGATTTGGTAATATACCAGGGTTGTCCGATGAAGAAGAGGATCTAGAACAAAATTAGAACTTACCAGTAGCAGTATAGATTGTACATTTTGAGAATCTATTTATTTTACTAGTAGTAGTAGTACAGAACAGTACTAGTAGTCCAGAATACTAAAAAGGGATTGAGAATAAAATTCCTTTCACGAGAATTTATGTTTCAAAAATAGACTTTAGCTGACTGGAGAAAAGAATTGGTGACAATAGTAAAAAAGTTGACAAAGGAGTCTTTTTTTGGGGTCACGATGTGATAGTCACAAACTGGTTTTTTTGTTATAATCACTCGAGACACGATTGGGTCACTCATATTGAGTCACTCATACTGAGTCACTTGTACGATATGATTGAGTGATACAATTGACTAATACGACTACGGCTCATCCGATTAAACTGATACGGTTGAATCATATCTTTTGGTTGGATCGTAAATGGATTGTATGATTGACTCATAGGACTAACACATACCAATCTTATTGCCAAATCAATGAAAATACAGCAAACAGCAAACAGCAGACAGCTGTTTGGTCACACTTCTTCTTTTAACTCAACTAAACACCCTATCATGCCCCCAACACCATGGTGATCGCTATATATTTGCTAAGTCTTTAGTGTACACTGTACTGTTTGTTTTGTCCTGTCATAGCGTTGGCGGAGTGATTCTGGCCAACCCAGTTGTACATTAGCAATGCTGGATATACGTACACCATGTATATCAATCAATATTCATCGTACGCCGTACTCCCCCACGCCATTAGAAAGCTCTTTGAATTCTCTTTTTAACCATGTGCTTATCATACTTAAGCGTCCATTGGGGGAAAAGTTATGGCTGTTCGAGTGAGTTGAACCTCTCTTAATGCCCTACATGTTTTTTGTACTGTGCGTGGATTTTGGGCTATCTTTTCACCGTGTAATGACTCGTGGGATTAAAAATTTGCATGTGTTCGAAGCCAAAATTGTCAGTTGAGCACGTGCACGCAAAACTATTTTGCACGTGCGTGAAACTATTTGGTCGCATGAATGTGGGATTCAAAAATTCAGCACGTGCCCCACTGTACTGGTAGTACAAGTTAAATTTTTAATCCCATGAGTCATTACACGGTAATTAGATGGCCCAAAAGGTACGACTGGTGCGTACATTTGCCCGCCAACTCTATACAATAATTAGACTACACTAACTGCTTAATGCACATGATTTCTTTATTTTTGTTATGGGTCTTGAAATTTTTTTGTTCATGAATGGAATTACAACTGGTGCCCATGACTTGCACAAATGAATAAATTTTATTGACATACTGACAAATAAAAATACAAATGGTACCATCTGTTAAAGTGGTCAACAATGGGGGAGCAATAGAAAAGGAATATCAGGATATTTCTGTTGCTGCGTGTGTTAAAAAGACATGCTAGTAATTATGGTTGCAACAAACAAAAATTATACCCGAAGAAGTATCTCTTGGATGTGGCCGTTTCTTCCTGAATATAGTACTCTCTACAAGTACTAGTTTCTCCTAAAGTGCTGTTCTTGTCCTTCTTGTTCATAACATAGCAGAGATGGACAAACCATTGGTGAATTTGGGTAATCTTTGTAAGGGTAGGTAATATGGGCTTTTGAAATCAGTAAAGCTTAGTAGTAGTAGCTTTCAAAAGGTCTTTCTCTCTGCAGAGGAGTCTTCTTCTCGAAACTGGTGGTGGCATAGGCCTCATTCAGTTCTTTGTTGTATAAAACTGGTGCTTTGAACTCCATTGAATGGGTAACATCTCTTGGGTTGTTTGTAGAACCATGTGAGTTCTCCTGACCTCCTCCACAATGAATTTCAGCAATAATAAGCTAGTACTGTTTCCTGGTAAAGGACATGGTATTATTATTGTTTTGGGTTGAGTTTTCAAGAAAAAATAGCATGAAACAAGTTTTTTGGACACCATGAGAAACAACAGTACTAGTACTACCAGCAGTAGATTCATTCCTTCTGGTAGACTGTAACAGAAATGGACAATGTAATTGACAAAAGAAAAAAAGATCATCCATGATTTACAACAAAAACTTGACCCAAGAGCTTAGACAAGAAAGTGAAAGATTTGATTCCAGGTACTAGTTGTTCCGCAGAAAGATTTATCAATCAAATGAACAACAGATATCACCATTGTCACCACATTGAAAATAAATAAAGGGTCCAGCCCCTCTAACAGTGGTATATCTCTACCCAACAATCTTGAGTACACAATGACGAACACATCATAAAAGGGGGATTGATGGAGAAACTGCTGTCAACAGGGGATGATGGTACCATATACATGGCTCATACTTATGATACACACTTATTATTCATACACTCTACATTCACAATTCACTTGATCCTATGGATCCTCACAATTGAATTGACTCATTTGACTCATACACAGCCCTTGATTTTCACTTTGATTGATTTTAGACTTCATACTTTGTTGATTCTCAACAAAAGGATCCACTAACTTTTCTTCTACTAGCACTCAATTTGCATCACTATTAGATAGTAGTCAAACCCACACAAATCTACTTGTGTGTGGATTATGGGGTCTCAACAGAGCATTAATAGATATGGTTAAAACTGTACTTTCCATTCTCAACTCAATGGAATAGTATGGAAACAATTTCATTTAACAAACATGCATACTAAAAGTCTCATCTACAAAAGATAACAAGAGAATGGTCCTTGAAAAATGAGGACTGGCTCACGACATCAGCCCAACTTGAGAGACATGCAAAATAAAGAGGATTCAGAGCAAACAAGAATTCTGTGCATGGCATTCTTTGACAATTGGCACAGCAACTCCAGATTGGAAATTTGACAGACTGGTGGTGACAGTACTGCCAACTAGTAGTACTCCTCCTAGTACATAAGGCCAACTTGACCACCACAGACTGTATTACAAAATAAATGGCTGTTTTTTGCACCATTGTTTCTGCATGTGATAAGGTGTTGATAGTATGCTAAAAAGCATTGGGCTTGTCGCAAATCAGTGACCAAGAAGAAGTCAATTGTCTTCGACTTCCACTTGCAGAGCACCGCAATCTACTGATTCGAGATAAATTGAGTCATTAGTCGTCTGTCATGAGTCCTTCAATGCTGATACCGTGGGGTGACGGTTTGCACCACAATTTTCAAATTTTGACGGCATTGTGTTTCGTTGGGGATTGGAGATGCTTCTGGTTTCGATTTTTCAACGAAAACTGCATGCGTATCTGAATAAAGATCAAGAATATCCTCAACGAGACAGAGACAGAGACAGATAGATAGAGATAGACAGACAAAGAAAGGGAGCCAAAAGGCAGCGAAGTGACTCAGGAAGCACACGACCTCTGTTGCGGTTTTCCAACCTTTTTTCCAACACGATAAACAGGCTAGAACAAAGAGATGGCTTCAACAAGATATCGAAAACCGCACCTGACCCCTGATTTGCGATTGGCTTTGGCCAGTCTTTATTCACTACCGGGTGGCAAGGTTTCTTCTGCACCCGAGGCCCACGACTTTTTGCTTCAATTTCAATCAAGGAATCCATACCGTAAGCTTCATTCTCAATTTGTTAATCAGAAAGAAAACCAGGAAAATTCACCCAAAGGCTACAACTCGGACGACGTAGGATCGACTTGGATGGCGTGTATCGATCTCATATCATCAATTTCAAAAGGATCCCTCAACAATCGAGATCAAAATAACCAAGTACATTATGCCGAAGCTCTATTTGCTGCGCAAACCTTAGTGCATCGGCTGAGGCGAGTCAAATTGACAGAAGCGATAGATATAGATTTCGAGCCGAATTTTTTCGATTCCTCTTCGGTCGTTTCTTTTCCTCCTCGGCCTGAAGAAGTCTTACATGGTTATCAACGGTGGATTTTGGAATACTACCACGGATGCACAGATTCGTCTTCGTTCGCTATGTTGTCCCAGCTCGTCCAGAGTTACCAACCCGCGGTAGATCAACAACAACCAACGCGTCCCATAGAATTGGTAGAACGCATCAAGGGAGAAATGTCCATGATGGTATTGGCGAGCGTTGTCGACAATCTGACGAAAGCATGCTACAACCAGAGCTCTCAGCATCAAGACGAGCACATCATGCTTGCCCAGATAAGGCCTTTGTTAAAAACTCTGGCCTTGGCCCTATCTGCCATTGCTGCTCGCATACGATATACATCCACTTCCCTACCCTTACCCGCATCACACACCCAACCAATTGTCGCAATGATTTTAGGAGCAATTCAAATGGTGCAAGCTCCATCGCAACAGCAGAAGGACACGATCGGAAACGAGGAAGCCTTTCATAGCCTTTGCTATACGTGCTTGACAGCAATACCAGAAGCGGTTCTCACTGGAAGTAATAGTGATGGCGGCGGGGGTGCCTATGGTCGTTTCTCGTTGGATCCTCGCTGCTACACTGCTGTCACAAAAGAACTCAAAACTGAAGGAATGCTTCAAGTTTGCCAATCTATTCAGACCTTGATGAATTCGAATGCGTCGAACCAGTCAACATCTTCAATACTCCTTTTGCAGATGTGTGAAGCTTGGGGTAAATATGTACCTTTACCAATTGATTTTGTCAACAGCAGTGTGTCACTTGTATTGCGAGCCTGGGAGCAGCTTCGTTCCTCAGATCAAGCTCAGCATCAAACGCTTGGTGAAGCGAAAGCTGCGATGGCCTATTGGATTGCTGTAATGGAAGCTGGGACATGGACGATAGATCAAGTCTTGACGTCGTCGCTTGTACAAAGCAAGGAAAGTTCACGACAATCTAACAAGAAGAAACAATCCAGCAAATCAAAAAAACGGCACCAAAAATTTTTAGAAGAAAAGACGACGGATGATCTGTATAAATCGGCATTCGATGAAGTTCAACATAGAGGGCAAGTAGCTTGTACCATGGCTCAGCAGACATTGCCTGTGTTGCAAGATCTCTTAATGATCGAATTGCGCCAGATTGTCACCGAAGAACAAGAAGTTCAGGGGGACGGACCGGTWGGAGCAATAACTGCATGCGCTAATGCATGTTTACCATATTTGTTGCGGGCCTCGATTGCGCACCAAGACAAGGGCTCAATAGATCTCTTTGTATCCATCGGCAAGCTGATTCAACAAGTGTGTGCCAGTTCGTCTCGCATGGTTCGAGGTTTTGCTTCAGAGTCTTTATTTGCTCTCCATGAAGCACTCGTCAAAAACTTYGCCGATAACCAGAACATTCCACCGAGTAAAGACTTTTTTGAGGTAGTGATAAATCACTTCTATCAATCTTCAATGAATTTAGCTCTTCAGTGTGGCTAYCCAGAGGGATACTTCAACGACTTAGGCGCTGACAATGATGAAGATCTAGAAAGTGAGAGAAACGATGTTCGAGAGGTACTGCGAACTGTATCTACTGTCCCTTCGACGAAACGCAACGGATGTGAAGCAGAGTCCATAATTTTGATTACGTCATCCATATTGTTTCGATTAATGCAATCATGTGCTCAACCCATTCAGGACGCTATCGGCACCAATACACCTTTTCTAGAGCCAGCATTGCATGCATTTTCCGCACTGGCAAAGCCTATCAACTCAATCGCAAGAATGTATGCAGAGGGTCTTTCCCAGAGCAGAGAGAATCAAAACTTCGCCACTATCATAAAATTGGCACTTGAAATCATTTCAAATGCAGGGAAGTGTCTACTCTCTCGCTTCCCTCACGTGTCCGTCAACGAAATTCTTCCACTAAGCAGACTTTACAATCTTGCGATTGCTTCCCTTTCGCCAATGTTCTCTACARTGGGTCAGATCCCATCYATGGAAGCAGAAGTGAAGACTGTTATCAGTATTGGCATCGAGACAGCTGCCGCTTCATTGTTCCGAATACCYGAGTTAACTGGGCCGTCGACGTTAAGACAAACGCGATATGATATACGGGGAGCAATGAGGAGCCCAGGCGGAGAGGATCATGGTGAGTGCTACATGGCAAAATTATGTTTCTTTCACAAAATCGAGCCACTGAATGACATGTTATGAATATGTAAACTTATCCCTCTTGCAAATCTATCATTTTCACGTTTCCTTCGCTTTGCAATATCAAAACCTCAAAAGTTGGAGTACTTACACTAATGCGACTTGCGAACGAGAGCAATGCTTTGTCTTTACTATTTTTGAAGACCAAGGAATCGATATTGGTAGATCTTTGCAATCTATACACGGAATTAAAGAGAATTGAAGACGAGCGAGGAATTGGCGTATTCTATGGCACTGGGGTCCTACCGAAGTCCAGACGTATTCTACTAGGTATYATTTGCCACTTAGAGCTTGTCTCCGGAGGTGCAGCTCAGGCTTCACCCGTATTGGCTTCCATTTTTGAAAACGCTATTTCTTCCATCGCAAATTCAAACAATCAAATTGGAAATTTCGAAGCGAAAACCTTATCAATGATATGTGAAAATACATTTGACATCGCAGCATTTTCTCAGAATGTTTTACACTCTTTCTTTTCCATATCTAACAATGCAACCCCGCAAGCTACGTGCATGCATGTTCTACATCAGGCGGGAAATGTCGGGTTTTTGTCAYTTCAGAACGCTGAAATAGATCATGAAAGCATTGTTCAGTGGAATCGCGTCAGGGCTGCATTGTTTACTTTGTTGAAAACAAGTGGTACTCCTGATTTACCTGCATCCATTTTAGAAATATTGATTTCTTTGATTGGAAAGGAGTGCGAAGCTGTACTTMTACAGTGCTCGGCAGGACCGACATCACCGAGCAAAATTTTCAACGAAAATGTTGTTTTTGAAGAGACAATTCCGCCCGCACTTTTCATCCGGGTTGTTGTAGAGACATTCGACGAAGCTTTTTCAATGCAGACCCCAATTTCTTCCATGAAAAATGCTCTGCATGTTCTATACGCGACWAGGCACGCTATACTTAATACTCTGATTTCAGAATGTYCGATGCCAGTGCAAAAAGGATCGTTTGAAGATCCTCGACCCGTCATTGCGGAGACKTGGTTTCTGTGCATGATCCAAATAGCAAAAGCAGTTGTTAAGCAAGGCGGAATCGACGCCCAAGGAGCAATCGGAGTCGAGGTTCTTCCRGTCATAAAGCAGTTACTTGTCGAGACGTTTGTCGCTGCAATCAGTTTGTTGCTGTATGCTTCATTAGAAAAAACACAAGAGAAACGTGCCCACGACCCGGGCATGAATTTGGATGGTCCTCAAGGACTTGTAATGATGGATTTCTTCGTAGCATATTTTGATTTGGGCTATTCTGTGATCCAAGCCGCATCGAAAGAACTCATCAATGCAGTTCCAGTAGATATTGGCAGCGATCCAGATGCTGCTGGAATGGCAATCATTGGTGCTGCACTTTTTAGAGGCTCACAAGGAGGCCTCCCTCCATGGGCTGTTGAAAGCGTTCCCACTGTGTATTCGTCACTGTTCAAGGCTTTGAGTAGCAATGTTGATACTTTTGGCGTCATGCTTCAAATTTCTATGAATGTACGCCTCATTGAGAATCAGCATTTTGGAAGCGTTCGAGGTGGATCGCTACTCTCGGGTCAATTTTTCGAAAAGATGAAGGATAATGCAAAGTTAAGTTTTATCAATCAGGCTAAAGAACAAGCCAATAAAAACACAGTTGCATCTTGGAGGAGACTGAAGGCATTAATCAAACAGGCCTGCGGTGGCAAGAAAAAAGACACAGATTTCAACCAAAGACCAGCCTTGACAAGCTGGGATACACTTGATAGAGTATAACCTAGAATAGATATTRCTCATTAYGTAATACAATATCTTTTACTACAATGTACTCATTAGTTGTAACAGTACAAATATTTCCTGACATTTTCTTCTGTCTGCTTCCCCAGGTCATGATTTTGGATGGGGTGAAATGATTGTATAGCACCAACTCAGAAAACCAAAACCAACTCTGGAAAAGMATGGTAGGAAAAAAATCTTATTTGATTTAACATCAGCTCCAGTACCTTCATACAGGCAGGGCAATGGTATTTAACTTTTGCCTACTAGTAGATTTGAGGCYCCACGCCATTCCAATCATGCATTGCTTCCAGAGGCACTCCAACTACCAGAATTGTACACAAACCCATCCAAAGACACTGTTGGGGAATCAGGTTTCWCTATCAACAGTTCATTCAAATAAGGAGGAGCAAGAACAGAAGAGACAAGGACCCCTACTACTAGTAGTACATGAAATAAGAATACAACATCAWCAATGATGTTAACCAGAAACATAACAAAGAATTATTGGGAGTTTTCTTCTYATTGATACTAGCTGCTGGGTTTGATACTAAACAAACTAAAATTTGTATCAGCAATCAGYAACATGTTGGAAATGATCCATACTTAACTAATACTGTACCAGTAGTACTAGCTACGTGTAGTATCTGTAAAACCTTGTACTGATACTATTCGACTAAGTGGTTCTATTGTTCAATTATGCACTTAACCACCACGTGTCGCTTCAAGGCAGCATTGGTACATTCCATTTACCATACGTACAGTATGTATGGTAGATATGTAGCTATGGGAGTACTGGTATGTAGTTTGAATCAATATCAGCAGGTCTACCCCCAGATAAGAAATAAATATTTACTACTTGTAGAACTGTACAGGGCCTGGCTGTTTTGCATCTTTTTTCCATTTTTGATTGGTTTGCTGATCTTTTTTCAACCTTTAGTGACATCAGCAATTACTGTAGACTGTAGTCCAGCCACTTAGCCGGAATCAAGCTCTGCTTGTAAGATTATTATTTTTTATTTTCCACTTGTTATTTGTGTCCACCATACTGTATGTCATATGTTGGTAGGATATAAAAGGTATAATATTGTAAAATATTTACCGACCATGCATTTTTTTTTTTGAGATCGAAACAACTCGCAATATCGCAATATCACATCATGACAAAGAAACAGTTCAATACTTTCTTTCGACTTTGCCAGAATCCCATCGGATTCACTTTCTCCTCTTCTTCCGGTTCTGATCAACAGTGCCATGGGCTCAAAGAAAATTYCTTCTCCGTTGCTCTCTATCTTTCAGCAGTGGATAGCGCAGCAGCAGCGGTCAGAAGTGTCTGAGCCTTCCTCGCCGTTGTTGTCATCTTCTTCCTATCGCATCCTTTTGCAGACATCTTATTCTCTTCAGACTCGCATTTCTGCAGCAGAACCGGTCGAAAATCCTCACTTGTATAAAAATGCAGGACTTGCAACGCCATCCGAGCGAGCATCGCGTGATATCTATGGAGGCTCTGAGACGGGATGGCTCTTGCGCTTGGTAGAATTAGCAGTGCAGCAACAAATGCAATCCGAACTAGAATCCGAGACTGTTGCTCCTGGCAAGGATGCGGTATCGATTATTTTTGTAACCACAAAGGCTAGRTCTYATGATTATTCAATTATCCAGGAACTRCCCAAGGATGTCAAGGAAAAGGTYCAAGWGATTGATTTGGCATTTCGKGATCCTTTTGGATGGGACTGCGATGACGAAAAAGACGATAACGATTCGAGAGACAACAGAACAACCACGCGTGCAAACATTGTCGACCTTCATCAGATCTATCGGAAAWTACAAGAGGAATTCAAGCGTTCTAGGGCCTCGGGAGCACCAGTCATTTTGATTTGGCAATCACTCGCACCGCTGATTTTGGTGCATGGGTTTCACAAGATCCTTCGTTTGCTCTGTGCTCTTCCTACTTGTCTCCAGGTTTGGCCCGTAAATCTACCGATCATGACTCCGACACAGCACGCACAACTAGAGAATGTTTCAAATGCCCTTCTATGTATGCGTGAGGGAGAAATGAACATCGTTCGACAGGGAATCCGAGAGCGAGGGAATATTCTTCGMCAAAAAGTTCCCTTTCGGCTAATACCTTTTGTCAGCGATCAGGATGGCCAGCGTAGGTTTCGCATAGTAGAAGAAACCGACTGCGAGAGCAAAAGTAGCAGTGAGGTGATCAATGACAACCGGAATACAATAGAAATTACCAATAGGAAKAACAAGAAGGAAGACGAAAGCAACGCGACAGAAGCAGCAGAGATCGGGAGACTGATATCATCGCACGGTTCGAGTGGTACCAGTGGCCGCGGGACGAAGTTACGCCTTGAAGAAAATGATGGCGGTAGAAGCGAAAGTGTAGAGTCACATGCTTCTTCTGACAGAGAAGTCATCGCCCCTAACCGACCTAGAATCTATCTGCAAGATGATGACCCAGAATTCGACGATTTTGACGAGGAAGACCCTGACGACGACCTGGAAATATAAATGCACCAATTTACCATTACTGTTGTCTTACTTTGATTTSGAAGAATGCATTGTTGAAAACTGATGGTGGYGATGGAAATGATCATTTACTCCTCTTTCTTCAGCTACTACTAGAAAAGTACTACATCTACTACTGCTGTTAGAAGAAGAACAATAGATCAATAATACTGTWTGACCTTTGTGATCAACTTCAGTCATGAATTACAATATTTCTAATAGTAAGATGCTCTAATTACAACAGATGGATTCAGGGAATCTATTACACACAGCAAGMATATATTCTACAACTATCCAAATAAACTCATTCTTTTCAGCTAGCCATCTATCATACAGATATCACAACACATATAGCTAAAAACTAAAACAKAACAGATGTCAACCATTTGACAAACACCATCTGACACCCAACARCACTTCCTTCATTGTAAATACAACAAATCAAACTATTAGTACTTSGATTGTTCGTTTTCTATTGTATTCAAAACCTCACAAAAACTATAACCCTCCAGCAAAGAAAATCACACTCCATAATCCAATTACTCCCTAACAATGGCAAGAACAATGAAACCTAACAATAGWACTAAAAAGGTAGTCACTACTACTAAGAAAAATAGCTCTACAAATGATATTCCAAAGAGAGCAGGGGCTCCACCAGCCCTCAACACTTTACCACCAGCTATTCCCCATATCAAGCACGAGTTCAACTTTTATGTTGCTCCAAAGGCAAAATCCCATCCATCCACCAGTGATTCCATAGTTTTTGCTGACACTCTTTTGACAGAGACATATTGAGAGAAAGGTGAATTTATGATTCTAACAGGGATTTAGAAGTCCGGAAATGGAGCTTACTACATCAGACCTCTTTTCTATTCAGAGACTCCCATAACTTTTGCTGATTGCAACACCTTTKACTGTTTGATGGGTGATTTACATGTATTTGTGGGTTTGAAGAGAAGATGATAGCTKTGTACCTGTTGGAGGTTCAACTGGTAGAAAGTTCAACAAAATTGTTCTTCTTTCTGTGCCAGAGAAAAACAAAATTGCTGAAAAGCATCAGACTACATTTGTGTTCAATGATATCTTCTTTGAGAAGCTCTTCTGTGATGCCTGTGTGTGAGAGAGAGCTCATGATCTAGAACAGACCATATCTGACACATCATATCTGATCATCAGCATATCCTGACACATGTCCCATCATCAGCAACCTCTGACTTTCACTTTTGTTGCACATTGGATGAACAATTCTATCAACAGTCTTTCCAAAACAGTAAATGGTCTTTTTGCAAAACAGTAAATGATGTTTTTCATTTTCTTGATGATGATGCTGCTGGTTGGTATATCATAATGTAATTTGCTTCAGAGTTCAAACAAAAACAAAAACAGAGTTATCAAAGAGAAAATACACACTATCACTCAAAAAGATGACAAATTACTTTCCAACAACTGGCAGGGAAGTTCTTTATTCTCATACAGGTTGTATCATGCATGYCTACCATACATGCTAGTACCTCTCTCAAGCAAAATACTATAATTAATAATGTCAAAGTTCTTCTTTTGTGCAGCAATACTACTACTGCTGGTACCTAAACAATACTATTATCCAACCAGAGACACACAGCAATAATAATAACAATGAAAAATAATATTTATTCTACCTGAGGAGGAGATTCACTGAACTGTACATCCAATAAAATAATTTGTTATTTAAAACAACAAATTTCTACCATTTTCACACAATTAACATGTGTTACTGTCTGGCCATCATGCCTGTTCAGCATATTCCCACTGAAAAATTAAATTATGATTGACTCTTCTAATTCATGACATTAAATAAATACATCTTTTTGGGTCCTGTGCCATCAGAACATACAAAACACAGTGGGTTCAAACCTAAAMACATATTTTTAGTGTATGGATCTTACATACCAGTCATAGAAGTATTACATACAAAAATTGTTTCATTTCTGGCGAAACAAGCACCAGCAACATTAAGTATGTGCCTACAATACTAGTACACCTCTCCCTCTTTTCAACTACATACACTACTGGGAACCTTCTTACAATACACTGCCCTTTAACCACCTAGCCGCCCATGATCAAGCTCTGCTTGTTGTTGTAGTAGCTTGTAAGTAATGGGTCATTCCCCATAACATAAATCCAGGTATGTAATAGGGAATCAATTTTAGTGGTATTGAAGACTCTGCAGGCTTGCTGAAAATACTTATTTCCACCCATTTTTGGAATTTCTTGGAATCCCATTTTATTCTTTACTAGTAGTGCTGCGCATATCATTTAGTGTGCTTGCGCCCAGTCACACTGAAAATSTTAAGTCAAGGAATCCAATAGAAATTTATGTCAAATACACAGATCTTGGTTGTCATGGGCCCACTACAATCAGTATCTGTGCAAATCTGTGTATTTGTGATACATAGTATTATGTCAATGTTATCTGGAATCGGGAATGACCCAATATTCATATTGATACTCGTACCTAACACACATAGGATGCATACCTTCAAACAAAGAACAACACAAAACACATCATTATTTCTTTTTAAGAGAACATCACGACCAAACAACCAACAACGCAGAACGGACGACGATGGTTACGGTCTGCGCTACAAGCCGAAACACTCTAMAAGCAATGCCTACTACCGTACAGCAGAGGACTTCGTTCAATTCATTCTACAAACGAGTAAACATCGCTAATAAAAGTGGATCATAAAGCCAAAGCGTTCTATAAGCTGACGCGCCACACAGAACGAGACCACAAACGAGATTATAATTCACAATTCCCCGTTCCAATGCTACAAAATTGTAAGATGAATAGAATACAAAAAACTTCAATTCGTAGTTTACTCGTATCGATCCGATGTCAGGTCCGGTTCGAACTGATCTGTTGGTTTCATCAAAGAAAATTGCGAAACTCACTTTTTTGCCACACTCTGTCAATTTRRTCGCATATCATTAATAACGAAAACATTTATGAAACCGAAACCAAAAATGCCTTTTCACAGTGCAAAAAGTCAACCGGCAAGTGTGGATCGGCCTAGGAAGCACCCTAATCATCGCTGCTTCAGCATACCCTGTCTTTTCGAAAGACGTTCGACCAGGTCACGAATTGTTTAGCTCAGAAAAACCAGAAGCTGTGTTGTTGGCACAGGAGGCAAGRCAAAAAGAGTACCGCAAACAACTCGAAAAGCGACGCGCCGAACTCAGGGCTGAGCAAGAAGCGTCATCGAAATAAATAGTGTCAGCGGCATTCAGCACAAAATCATAAAACTGTTTCAATCTAAAGAAGGTGAGAGCGCCAGAAAAAAACTTGTCAAATATACGGAACGAACAATAACCGAAGCAAGCAAAATGGAGGCAGATATGCAGGCGGCAATCGAGGCGTTCATGCTCGGAAAAAGCAAGAGCAGTGCACCAACGTCACCGCAGAAAGAAAGTGACGATAATCATCAGAACAGCAACGTCCGGAAGAAATGCTACCGCTCGATCCTCAGAGCATTTCAGGGGAGAGTYGAAGAATGGAACGACGCAAATAAACAGCTGAAAGGTGTGTTGGGGTCGATCGCCAACCTTCGTGATCGTGTGTACTGGGAGAGTAGTCGGTTGAAGGCGTTCTCAGTTGGGATGGAAGGAAAAGATATGGGATTGAATAAGCGACACGTGAAACAAAAACACCGGCAGCCGCCGTGGAGAAGTAGTGGATATAGAAACACGTTGTTCATGCACRGAGGCAGTTGTGCTTTGTTGAAGGAGGAGGATATCCAATTAGCACTGAATCATGATCTTCTCCAGCACGAGCGAATGCTGTCAGCATTAAGAAGTACTATGGCATCAATGGCAAAAACTGTAGATGACATTGGACGACGCTTAGATGAATGGATGATTCATAACTTGAATAATGAGAACGATTGGATGATTGAGGACAAGAAAACAGTTGCAGCTCGGCTGCAAGAAACTGAGGCACTAGAACTTGCGCAAGAAGTCTTTTCTCTAMTGGCATCTGATCTATACTCCAAGCAAAWGATGGCTATGAAGGTCTTTGATTCCTGCCATGACGGTGTACTGGAAGTTGTGGACGTCCATACTACCAGCACAGGTCTATCGAATGATAATACTTTGTGGATGTCGGATCCCCGGGCTGTKATAAAAAGAGCATCGAAAGAGTTTCCAAGTTCCGATAGCAGCGATCCAACCTTGGCTGCTGTCAATCAATTGATGAACATAGACTAATTACTGTAGACTATGATTCCACGTGTGCGTCCCAGGGATGATTAACTTATGAATTATACTGACACTGTATATTTACAATGTTTCAAATTTACACTACGAACGTACCTATTCCAAAAACATCATAATACATTTTACATTCATTTTAAAAGTTTTTCTTCGATCTGTTTCCACCTSYATACTGCCAATTTTCACCTGACGGGAAGATTGGATTTGGTTGTTCAGTCGTTTTTTGTTCAAACATTCCCCGAAGTTTGTCAAATCTTTTAGCYTTCGGATTCCCCGCTTTTTTAGTTTTCTGYTGCGGGGTTGCCGCCGCTACAACAGCTGCGGTATTCTTATCTTTGTTCGAACGTTGAAGATTTAGACGAGCTACGCCACCACCTTTGTTTGCACCCGCCCAATCATTCTTGTTACTGTCGCTGCTTGTACCCGTGGGCACAGCCGCATCCATATTGAGATTGACTATGGAGCTCGAATTGTCAATAATGGCATCGTTTGCTCTCAAGTTAGCTAGACGAGAAGAAGAAGAAGAAGGCGACTTGCTCTTGTCATGACCATAACCAACCGAGTATCGGTAGTCTTGTTCAGCTCTCGAACGGGACGGTGTTGTTGCTGTCCTCTCTGACAACGAGTTGGCTTCATTCTGCACAGAGCCTTTTCTGTAGTAYACTTCATCGTATGAAATTCGGTACGGAGAAATTCCGAGACGTGAATTTGTAGGGCTTCCACCTTCTGGATCATCTTCGTCCTCACTTACGATCGACAAGGATTCAGACAGCTCGTTCTTCTGAGAACCTATGAAGCTTTCAGCATAACTCGAAAGTGGAGCTGGAGCTAGTTGCGGTCCTCTTGTTGGAGAACGGTTTGGTATTGAATTCTTGTCGCTWYTTTKAGGGTTGTAGACACGTCCATCCATTCCAATAGACATCGAGTTCGCAGCCATTGAATTTTGTCGCGGCGCCCTTTCAGCAGCACTCAGTCGTTCGTGGAGAAACTCTTCTCTTTTATTTTTGCGATCCTTTCTTCGTTCGTAYCGGCGGACATACTTTGAAAGTTCTGACACTTCYGACAATATATCTGAATTGTCATCAGCGTTCTTTGTTTCCGAGGATCTATTCTTGGGGATGACTGTTGCTTGTCCTCCTGAAACGGCCAGATCTTTTTCAATATCCTTCAATTTTTTAACAAAAAATGCGTTGGCACTTGTTTCATCCTTTTTCTCTTCTCCAAGCGACAGAGATGAATTGTAAGGTTCCCATGGGACCGAGGAAGGGAGTTCGCTGAATTCGYCATCACCAGCGGCACTGAATCCATGTGCTTCGTCACCATACGGAAATGACTTCGTAAAAGATGGATCTCTTCCCAATGGAGTTTCGAATCCCACGGGATGTTCTCTATCTTCTACSKTTCTTTTCGTATTTTTCGTCAACAAAGATGGAACAGATGCGCTAATCGAAGAATGCCTATTTTGATCAGCCTTTCGATTCGTAGAATGATACCTATTAATTTCAATTTTTTCGTGGCTTTCCTTTCTGCGCTGAAATTCATCCCATGCTTGTTTGTCACGTGATGCTGCCAACTTTAACTCGTTTGCAAACGAATCAGTGATGTCTTCCGATCCTACACTTGACTCGAGTCCTCTGTAAGAAGTTTCTTCTGATTCAGATTGGGACAGCATCATGGAATGAAATGGCATTTGCGATGGATGTGGTGTTGGCACAGGGCGGGAGGCTGACTGCGGTCTGGCCTTCGACGCGTATTTGCTATTCTTGCGACCAGCTGTCGGAGCAGCAGCAGAGGCTGCTGCCGCCGCGGCAAGATTCGCAGAGGAAAAAGTAATACTCTCTTTCATCTTCTTCTTTTTCTTGAGTCGTTTCTGTCTTTTTCGGTAAAATATATATGCATATCCAAATAATCCAAGGACCGCGATTCCCGTCAGAATGAAACCGAATACGATGGAAAGGGTTGATGGRCGTTCCAGCTCGTCCTTACGAGAGCTTTGCTTGCTGTCATTCTTCGTGACTTCGACAGACTGATCCGCGTTGTTATTTTCCGTGTTATTTTGGTATAGGTTGGCAGGGTCATTTGTAGTACTTTCATTGTCATCATAGTCCTCGTTGAAATTCCTAGTGTCACCGTCGTTCTTTGCACTCAAATCTTGTTCTGCGCTAACATCTTCAACTCGCAGGACTCCAGCAATCTGGGCATTATCAAATGCACSTTGTAACTGATTTTGAGCAATTATATCATGATAGGCTTCAATCCATTCTTTTTCAACTTCATCCGGGGTAGGTATCGATCCATCTACTTCCATGCTGTAATTTACAGATCCAYTCACACTAATTGTAATGATTTTTGTGTCAGAWGACTGTATTTCTTCTTGCATATCTCGTTGTTTCGATCGMAATGAACCTCTCGACAAAGTARCTGAGTTGCTATCTAGTTGACGCCGCTTTCTGTCTTGCCACCATCTAGATTCTAACAATTGCAAGGTCAAGTCTACTTCTCCCAGCTTCAATGTTTCAAGATTTGAATTAGTGATGCTGCCAGTCKCTCYATCATCATCACCATTGCGGTTGCCGTCGATCAACTTTTTATATTCATTTTGTATGTAATTTTCCAAGAAAACCTCCAGCACCCTCAACAATTCATTCGTAATAGTATTCTCTACCAATAGTTGCATGTCGAAGTCGATTGGAAGCTTGTTTCGAATGAGGGGGTTTCCCTTCTTAAAGAATTCCCCATAGTCAAATGGCTCAATATCCGGCTCGTCGACTGGGGGTGTCGTCACGGTTAGAGGCGATGCCACATCTATTTCATTGGGGGCTTGGCTTCCACTGAATGATTCTTCTGCATCGAAGTCATTTCGAAGTTCCGGTGACAAAGTCTCCACTTTACTATTTTGTTGTCGAATAATATTTTCAAGTCTCTGCCCYGACTGAAGAATCCTTTGTTTCCTCTCGATAACGTCAAGCCCATGCTGCTGCATTCTGTTTTCTACGGATGATAAATCCTTGCCCCGACCATACTGCAAAAGTTCATGCTTTCCCTGGTATCCCTTCCCCTCCCAAGACCGATTCCCACTACCCCTTGCCGTCTCGATCAAATGATGACGGAGGTGTGTTTCCCCCAGAACACACCGAGACAAGAAAAGCAATAATAATGATGAACCCAGAAATTTATGAAAGGAAAATGATTGCTTTCGTCTTCGCACCCCTTCGTGGCGAGAGTACCCGGAATAAATAGAAGGCGCCCTCTGCAAAACWCTCAGAATCCAYATAAAGAAAAACGATGCATGGTCACTGGAGCGCGGACAGTAGTAGATTCGGGAACCTTTGCTTCGCACGAGCGTCATTAATGTGTTATCATMATCACCATCGATGTTCCGCTGATGATCACAACCGCTATATCCACACCTTTGTCGTTTCATACCAACTTTGGGAGGATCCGACGCCATGGTTCAAGCGTATTCCACCTGKGGTGAATGTATTTAGGACTATTACTTGTATCGCCCGATTGCACTCTATTTGTCACAAAACTTTGACGTAACACTGTCGATGATTAGAACACATACAACATACCGATGTCGAGAACTCATTGTATCGTGCAAAACGGAAGGTGTTCATTCTTACGAGCAAATAAAGTCTCATCATTATTGATGTGCGACCAAAAATACTAACGGGTTTCATGATTGGCGAAATACGAGCAAGCCCGCTACAACGACTTCTTTGTGTCGGTGTTTTTTCTGATAGAAATAATAGAGAATGCTATGGGAAGCACGCGCTCCTCGCATTACAGTGAATGGGCGCGGTCGAGGGATCAGTTACGACGGTTATGAGTATGATTATTAACCTGTGAAATGTTGATAGGCTCCTTAATATACGATAATACGTGGTTTACAATAAAGAGTGAGGATTATTCACTAGCTACTCGTGAATGCGGTATGGGCATTACCTCACAATACCATCAGAACGACGTTGAGCTACTTTAAAGTAGCTTTAAAGCAGCTTTAAAGCTAGTTTTAAGTACCATAGAAGTAGCTTCAAGTCGGTTTTAAGCTACTTTAGCTACCTTCAAGCTACTTTGTTTAGATATCAGTAGGCACGTTAGCCTGCAGTAGGTCCAGCTCGTACGTGACTCAGTAGCTTCGCCGTACGTCCAGTAGCTTAAAGTATCTGGTTATGAGTTGTTTCCCAACGTCCCAGGGGTCATAAATTTCGAGGGGTGCGCAACGCATCAAAACTCATATTCCATCTGTGGTACCAATAAGAAAATTTTACCCCCAGGGATTTTTTTCAATTTCATTTTTACTCCATATCACTGCAAAAAGTGTACCTGAAAGACCCCATGCACAGGAACACTTCTAATCACCACTCTCTAATTTTCAAACTTCACATGCACATCTCTCACATTGTTGAGAGGCAAGTAGTAAGTATATTTTCACTGTTATTGCTGTCTGCAGTTTAAACATATTATGCAGTAAAAATGAAATTGAAAAAAATCCCTGGGGATAAAATTTTCTTATTGGTACCACAGATGGAATGGATTTTTTTTCATCCTGATGCTGAAAAACGTGCGCGTTGCACACCCCTCTAAATTATCACCCCTGGCATGCGCACCCATTTCAAATAGAAGAAATCCAAAATCCTCAATCAAATTAGCAATAAAAGGAATCTCATTTCCAGAAATCTATTAAAAAAAAGCAATCCAAAGCAACGTGGTTTCTAATTCATATACATTTGAATTTTATGACTAGAAAACAGTGTTAACTGGTGCTGTGAGAACCACATCACAGCAAAAATTCCAGCAGGAACACCAAGAACAAGAAGAACAAGATGAGCCCCACCAGCAGGAGGGAGCACCACCAGTCCACCACCACCAGTCCACCACCACCACCACCACAATGCAGCAAGAGAGGAACAAGAACAAGAAGAACAAGAGGAGGGAAAACAGCAGCAACAACATCATGATCAAGAGGCAGCAGAACAAGCAGCAGAACAAGCTGCAGCAGCACCAAGAAGGACCACCACAACTATGACAGTAGTACAAATAGTAGTAATCATGATTATTGCCACGTCACAAAAAATGGATCCATGGTATTGTGCATTTCATGCAGTTGACACTATGGAATTTTCAATGCCCACCCTTAGTTTTCATCTTGGAATAAATTTATGGAAAAATCTTTCAGAACTCTGTTTCCCCAGAACATGTTTTTGGAATGAGCATATATTTACTAGTACTAGTACTACTAGTACTACTTCGAAGTATTTCAACTCTATGCTGTGAGCACAAAAAAAGCTACCCCTCCCATGAAACTCATTCCATTCTTTATTCTATTTATTTTAGGAATGGTGTTCTGAACTCATTCACCATATACTCTGTCCCCCCCTTCCCCCCCTCCAAAGCTGAAGGTATTCTGTCAAAACTGTCATGCGTCAAGAAGAGATGGGAGAAACCAGCATCCCATAATTTACAGTGCCAAACAGAACAAAAAACAGGATTCATCATCACCTCCCTAAATTTCTTAGTCTTCTTAGCTACAGTAAGGATTGCCTCCAAAATTATTTCTATTGGCAACAGGACCAACGATTTCACCAGTTCCTCCCTGTACAAAACTTGAAGTTGGCCATTTGTTAATAGAGTCTACTACAATGGAATCTGTTTATTCTGATCTTGACCATGGTGTTTTTGGTGAACGTGTTCATATGGAAGAAAGCCCTGACTCTGTTCTTGTTGATGCAAWCAAAACACCCATTGATTAATGGTTGTTACCATCCCCAACAAAGGTAAAAATAAAGTTAACAAAGATTATGAGRGACCACAACCTAGTACCATTAGTTGCCAAAAGGGAGCTATACCAATGGGCTATCAAATTGGAGAGGTTGTCTGGTTTCACCTGCTGGAGTACCAGAAGCAGTCTGATCAAAACTTGCCAAACTGTTTTAGGCAAATGTTACAAAGCAACCCCTGAACTATATGGGGATGGCTTTGTACAGCAGCAGCTTATCAAATGGTGTTCTAGTAACAATGTCAGTGACAAGCTAATCTAGGTAAGGTCCTTTGGATGTCATGCATTGCATTCTCTTTTGACCAATGTTTCATTCATCAAAGAAGAAAATTTATTGTTTCCCAATCAGAAGAACCCCACCTCACCATGTCAAGTTCCAGAAATGACAGAAGACTCCCTTATCTATGAACTCCATCAGGGGGAATGGTGGGTGGAAACATGAAAAAAACTGCAATCCCAATAAAGACAAAATGTTTATTCCGGTTATATTCTACATCAATGGCATYGGTACTATAGACAGGCATGGATGTACAACCCTTTGTCCATTGAGCATGACTCATGGTATATTCAGCAATCTCACGCGCTCCACCAGACCCAATGGTTGGGAGACTCTTTATTTTTATCCTCAAGGAAAAAGCAATCAGTTGGTTCACTGTGGTTTACAGGCAGCTTTTGCTTCCTTCCAAGCAATTTTTGAATCATCAAATGATATTTGGTGGCACAATTGTCCATGGGATGGTGAGCTTTGGAATGCGAGATTGAAATTTGTTGTTCCTTTTTTCATTGGCAACATGGAGCAACACAGCAAGCTCCATGGGCATTTCACTTCTGCTAAAACAAAAATGATCTATGGACACTGCAACTGTCCTTCTTGTGCGCTTGGAATCAACTCAAAAGTTAACTTTCTGAATGCTTCCATTTCCAATGAACTCAAGAATCTCCAAAATGCAATCAAAAGTAAAGACAACAATGACAAATCTGACAAGACAACAAATGTTAGTCTCAAAGGAGGCTCATGGAGCAACAAGAAGAGGTGTAGAACATGCATTGGCAGTAGTACCCTGCCCCACCATTACTCTCCTCTAAAGTTACTATGGTACCCTTCGGATTTTAGCAAGAAGGACCACTATGACAGCTGTCTAGTACAAATAATCATGATTACTACTGCTAGTGGTTGWAGAACACACCAGCAGAAAAACAATGTGCGATGTGGAATAATGGATGCAGTATTGCTTCTTCCTACTACTATTCAACTGCTGGAACTACCACTACTAGTAGTAGTACTATCAGCATCTTGCATTGTTGCTGGCAAGAATCTTGTTGTTGTTGCTTGTTGCCTCCTTTGATTTCTTGTCAGCACTGCTGCTTGAAGAAGCAACAAGAAGAAGAACAAGAAGAAGGTCGTGGTGCTTCTTACAATGACACACCACCACATTGAGCAGGAAAATCATACTACTACTAGTTGTAGCTACTTCTTAGTAGTACTATTAGTGGTGATGATTCTTATTTCCAGAAATGAAATTTGTTTATTGTTCTTGCTCCTTTCACAGATTTTCAGCAGAAGGAACTAGTTAGAAATACTAGTACTGGGAGTTCATAGCTAGTAGTAGTAGGTTTCCAAAGAAGGAGACTTCTTAATTTGTTCATCATCATGCTACTAGTAGTACTACTACTAAATTCATTTTTGAACAACAAGAAGAATGAATGGCTTAGTACTAGTATGCTGATGACTGTTTTGGATGGRAATGTACAGAAGCTGGGTGAAACTGATTTATTTTCAACCATTTGGTGACAGCTCCTGCACAAGTGAAGACCAAACCACTTCTTACTAGTAGTAGCTAGTAGTACTAGCCATAATCAAGCTCTGCTTGTGGATGCCTGCATGCAGTWCCAGTCTACCCAGGCATGGTACGTACGTACTGTACTCGTAAGCACTACGTACTACTAACTCGTGTCACTGCGCGAGACCAACATTTTCAAAAACCAAGATCTTGGCATCGTTKTGTACAAGCATTGTCTTTCGATTTCGATTACTGTACGTACGTACCGGTACAGTGCCGTACGTACGATATCTCACCCGTATCACTCATCCGTACGTACCGGTACGAGTTCGTATCGTACGGTACCATACCGTAGATTCCGGTACAGTAGGCCCGTCGGAGGTCGGGAAGCCGACGCAAACAGGAACAGAAACAGAAACAGAAACTAAGGGTATCGATACTGTATTGTCTAGCGAAGCCGAGAACGATACACCAACAGCAACAAGAGCAACAGCAAGAGCAACAGCAAGAGCAACACGGCAACAGAATAAACCAAAGCAGACGCACGCACGCACGCATGCCTCAGCAGCCATGAAGGAACAGAGCGAGAAGATCAACCACTTTTTGCTGCAGGAGCAGTTCCCCGACATTGTCTTGGTCGCCGGGACCGAGAACAAGGGCGGGAGCAGCAGCAGCAGCGGCGGCGGGCCCTCCCGGTCCTCCTCCCCCGGGTCCCACCCGGCGGGCGTTGTTGCTTCGAAGAGCTCGGTGTCCCGGAGGATCGTGCGGGCGGACGACCACGTGAGCGAGCTCCTGAAGGAGAGCTGCCGCTGCCCCCAACTGGAGGAATACCTGCCGCGTTTCCTGGACCTGTCGCTCGTCAAGACGACCCCGAGCCAKCACCACCCGAGGGGGTGGACCCTCTCGAATCCGGTCCACGCCCTGCACGTGGCCGCGGCCCAGTCGGGGGGCCCGGAGTCCTCGGCGAGGGTCCAGAAGCAGCGCCTCCCGCCCTCCTTTATGTACGGGGAGGAGCACCACCGGGCCACCGCCCTCAGGGCGGAGGGAATCGCCGAGTACTGGTGCTCCTTCGACGGGAGCCCGGCCGAGGACACGACGACGGAACGGGTGCGGAACCTGATGGGCGCCGCCTTTGTCTCGGGGGCAAGGCACGCGAGGCCGCCGAGTGGGACCAAGGGGGAGGGGCCGGTGTTGTCGTCGTTGTCGGTGTCGACGTCGGTGTCGACGTCGACGCAGCGCAAGGGATCGGCATCGTCCACCGCCGCTTCCGCGACCGCACCGGTGCCCGTTCCCGTGCCCGTGCCGACCAAGGACGCCCCCCGCTCGGGTCTCGTCCAATCGGTGGCCGTCCCGGTGGCGGTGGCGTCCTCCGGAGCGGACGCKCAGCCCCCGGCGCCCGTTGCCGGCGCACCGGGAATCCTTCCGCCGCCGCCGCTTCCCGGGGGCAACCCCGAGCCACCGGTCTCCTCCACCGAAACCACCCCCGCGCCGCAACCAGAACCCGCATCGAACCCCGGCGGTCCCACCGCACCGGCAAAGACCGAAACGGAAGCCCAGCCCGGCGAGAAGGCACCCGGCCACAAGCCCGAACCCCCCTTCGGCGAGGGGACGAAAGAACCAAGCAAAGCTACACCAACACCAACCGAAAAGCCTTCCGAGGATGGCGCAAGGAACGCCGAGTCCGAGAGCAAGTCCGAGAGCAAGTCCGAGAGCAAGTCCGAGAGCACATCCAAAAATCCTGCCACCGGCAAGCCGCCGGAAAAGGCAGGCCCGGCGTCCAACGAAACCGCTGCCGAAGACGACGGCAACCAGAATCCAGCGACGGAAACGGGAGCTGCCGAGAAAACGGACGGCAAGGACGATCCTCCTCCTCCGCCATCTCCGGCACCGCCCACAAAAGAGGCAGRGGCAAAAACCTCGGAAGCGACACCGGGCGACGCCGCCGGCTCTTGCCCGCCCGACGACGCCGCGGAAAAGGCCGGCGAAGCCGCATCCGGAGCGAAGGGCGTCGACGAACCCACGTCGATCGAAACAGAACCCAATGCATCCACGGAGACCAAGGCCACCCCGGTTGCCGAGGGTGCACCGGCCAAAGAATCGACCGATGCGGTCACCACCAAACAGGAAGGAACCCCTCCACCCTCCACCGACGCGCCCGGGCAGGAGAAACCAGCCCTGCCGCCGAAACCTCTCGGTGACAACGAGGAGAAAAAAAACGAAATCCCTGCCAAGGAGGAACAAGCCGGATCGGTTGCCAAGGGCGAGCCCGGGGTTCCGGACAAGAAGAAAGACGACGAGAGCAGGGCAACAACGGAAACCCAACCGAACAAAATGGACGACACGGCACCACCAAATGCCAAACTCTCCGGCGATGCTCCGATGGAAGACGCCGGTTCGACGCCCGATGTCGTCCGRTCRGAGGCGTCCAAGGCGTCCGGGGACGATCCCATGGAGATCGACGAGGCCGCTGCCACGCAMRGGGCTCCCGGGACGAGCCGCGAAARCGGTTCCACGGCAAAGGAAACCGCCAAAACAAAGGCCGCTCCGGGCACGCMGGCGGCCGGCGACAGAAACCAAAACGATCCGAAGGCCACCGGGAGCGAGCCCCTGCCCCCGGCGGTCAAGAGCGGAGACCCCACTACCAAGGAAGTCGTGGCGGGGGCTTTGGTGCCCTTGCCAGTGGCGAGCAGTGCAGCAGCGGGAACGCCGAACGGGAACGAAGCAGCGCCGCCAAGGATTCTCCCCGCGCCGTTCAAGTCGGACCCGCGGATGGACAAGTTCCGCCGAGAAGAGGAAAAACTCCGCCGGATCCGAAGATCCCTGCTGTCGAAACGCGTGCGAAAAAAGGCCGAGCCGCYKCCGAAGGACACGGGCAAGAAGAAACGGAAGGTTTCCGACAAGTTCAGCGTTTTGTCTGGATTCAAGGCCCCCTCCGTGCACGAGCTGACCAAGGAAGAAGAAGAAGCTTACATGTCCGCAACAAAAGAAGCGAACGAAACAACCGAACGGTGGATCCGCCAGTTCCGCCTCACGCACGAATCCTTTTGGCGGCARAAAGAAAGGCAGGAGSAATACGGACTGMCACAAACACGGGCCGGTTTTTATCTCCGCTCCGATCTGGCCATTCAAAAACCGAGGTGCCAGGGGTGCGATGCGGAAGAAAAAGAGAGATTGCTGCGCAACCCCTCGAAGAACCGCAAGAAGGAACGCCGACCGTTCGCGGGAGACGAATTGATGCAATGCCTTGACTGTGGTTTCATTGGCTGCTCTCCACCCTCCCTCAATCCGAACACAAAAAACTACATGCTGCGGCACATGCTCGTCACGGGACACAAGTTTGCGGTCTCTTGCGGAGAGAAGGCGCTGGTGTTTTGCTTTCCGTTCGGGGATTTCGTGTACCACGAGGTCTTTGAACAGGAAAAGATCCGCATTGCCTGCGCGAGAAAATTGCCACACATGGCTTGGAACGAACACGCCGTCCTACGTTCGTTCGACCCGTTTCAGTTCCTAAAGACCGCCGACAGTGGAATCATCTGGAAGGGCTTGGTGGCTACGTATCCCCCACTCGTGCCAAAGGAGCATTTCTGTGCCGTGCAGCTCACTTTGCGACGGCAGGCACTGTTCGAGGGCAWTTCCAGCGACAGATGGATTCTCCCAAAGCCCAATGCTCTCTACTTTGCTGCTTCTCAGCACGCGAGAGACGAAAAAGAACGATTCCAGATCGCCGCCCCCGTCGGCATCTACAATCTGGGGAATACGTGTTTCATGAGTGCCATTTTGCAATGCCTGATCTCTTGCAGGCCCCTCCAGCAATACTTTTTGCGGGATTCGGGCCACCACTTCAAGTCGTGCGAAGTCTTCCGCCACAAGGAAGAGTTGTTGGCTGCCACGGCGGCGGCTGCAGCGTCTGGCCCGGCGAAGAGGAACCTTGTAAAGTCGAAAAAATCCGGAGCCGTATCTACCGTGAAGAAGAAGACCACAAAGGTTCGGTCGGAGGTTTGTCTTGCTTGTGAAATGGACCGCTTGTTCTTGTCCTATTACGGAGCCACCGTTGGGAACGACGTCTTTGTCCCTATCGAAGAATCGTCTCGCAACCTCGTAGGAAACCTGGATCAGTGCGACCCGGTGACTCTACACGAGGTCGTCGTGCCCATCGAAAAGGGTGACCCCCTGATCATTTCGGATCTGCTCACCTCGGCCTGGAAAAGCGGGGGCATGAACCATCTCACAGGGTACGACCAACACGATGCACACGAGTTTTTGAATTCGTTTTTAGAGCTATTGGGGAAACACATTCTGATGTTCCGACAACGCACACACGCTGCGGCAACCAAAGTATACAAGGAGAATGCCTTGATGCCGGATTTCGATCCGAAAAAGAATGGTACGCATGGTTTGAAACGAGTTTGGCCTCTCATTAGTTGACTCATTTACTCACCCAACCTTTTTCTCTCTGTTTGCAAAACTACGATACCGACAGACTTGATCAAAAGTCTGTTCGAAGGATCTTTGAGGTCGGTGTTGTTGTGCGAAACCTGTGGGGTGAAAAGAGTACAGTTAGAGCCATTCATGAATGTCTCCTTGAGCCTTTCGGAGGAAGTAGAGAGAATGCAAGAAAGGAAAGGAATGCAAAAGCTCGACGACATGAGTGTAGAATCGTGTCTCCAACACTTTGTCACGCCGGAGCAGCTCGGAGATCTCGTGTACTGCAATGCCTGCAGGAAGAAAACCCGAACCAAAAAGCAGCACACGTTTGCAAAATTACCCAAAATCCTGTGCCTTCACCTAAAGCGATTCGATGCTACCAAAAACAAAAAGATCGAGAATTTCGTCTCCTTCCCCAGCCACGGACTGAACATGGGAGGTTTGTTGTCGCACTGGTGCGAAGTGACGAGGCTAGAATCATCGAAACGTGGAAACGACGTATCGACACCTTCCGCGAAACCAAAGATTCTTTACGACCTATTTGGCACTGTAAACCACGTAGGGAATATGCAAAGTGGACACTACGTCGCAAACGTCAAAGTAGAAGACACATGGTATCATTGCAACGACCAACACATCAGTTATGAAAAAGAGGAGTCGGTTTTGAAGGCTGAAGGGGCGTACGTATTGTTTTATATCAGACGGTAATATTTCAGTTAAAATTCATTTAACCATTTACATTATCTACCACATATGTTCAAAGACTCATTGCATTCTCCGATATCCGCGCACAAGAGTAGCACATAAGTCGAAATGCTATTCTCCTGTCAATCTAATTTCCGCCTGCCTCATGATCTTCGTTATAACTCTTCGATCCTGTCTCGTTTCTTTTACTTTCGTCGTTTGATTCAATGMTGATTGGGCTCGCTCTAGAACCAATTGGTGGCGGAGGTGTAACCACGTAATGCATCAACCAGTAGTGCCGTTGATGTGATGCGTATTGGTCCTCGATTGAATGACTTCTCAATCCATCATGAGCACCAAAAAATAGATTCGAGTATGCTGCAGCACCTGACGGACCCTGGGAAGAAAAAGGAACAAATGCATTATTTTGGTGAAGTGTTCCAACGGGAATGATAGAGCCACGGGCTTGACCAAATTGGTTGCTACTGAGTGCACTCTGCTCGATGATTCCCTCGGCCGTGCTCTCTTTACAGGTCCCCGGGTGCTCTTCACCATCGCTAATTTGTCCCTCGGTGTGTCCGTGGCATGAAAACACGGAAAGTAAGATTCCAAAGAGATAGATATTACAGATCGCATACAAGCAATTTGTATATAGAGAATCGGGAGAGCCGCTTGAGGTAAAAAACCAAAATTTTCCTTGATCCTCGTTGTTGCTAAACCATGAACCACAGATCTTAATCGACGAAGAAAGGAGGATGACCGAAAACATATATAACCGCATCCATCGAAAGATAGCAGGAASTGTCAAGAAATATGCAAGGAAGAAGCCGCAAATATTACAGATAATCCCCTGGAACAAAAAGTGAATAGTTCGCAATCCACTAGTAACCAAATTCTTTCCAATGTACCAGAGTTGCATAAAACCGCGACCTCTTCTTTTAATGAAAGAAAAGACCGTGAACTCTTCTCTATATTTTTCAAGCTCTTGCGCTAGAGTTTCACGGTAGTCTTTGTATTCGTCGTTGCGAAGGCGACGCTCATTCTCGAGCATGCTATGGAGACTCTCGATTTCGGATTGGATACTGTAGGATTGCTCTTGCACACGAGATTCTAGTTCATCATATACTCTCAATACATGCTCTTCGCGCTTATTCCATCGATGAATGAGGAAATCTTGCTGCTCTATCAAGGCCTGGACCTTCGATTCCGCAATTTTAGAAGATTTTTCAAGCTGGTAGCTAGTCTGACGGTACATTGACAGCATGGTCTCCGAAAGAAGGCGGGTGCAGAGCTCATTCACGTACGAGAAAAAATGCGTGTAAGTAGCGACACCGGAATCCGTCAAATGAACCAAGCAGTTTGAAGCAACAGAGCGAGGATATTCTTTCTTCTCCTCACGATGAGAGGCACCATCGTCATTGGTGCGTACGGTTTCCCGAGAGCTTGCTACATCATACTCGTAGATTACTCGAGAACAAGCAATGCGTTGGTCTCTGTCTTGAAACTGAAACAATGGGCGTCCGATGTCTTCCATGTGACATTTGGACAGTTCCAGGGCAAGAACTTTTTGATCGTCGGACGTCATCCATCTGCACGTCATCGTGTCAATATCTTTGTAGCTATCGTTTTTATCGGGATTGGTGGCAGTGAGGTGTTCGCTTTCGAGGAAGAGCGATTCGTGTCGACTTTTCAACACTTGCATTGCTTCCAACCAGCAATCAGGAGATGCCGGAACAAGAGCAATATTTGTTGTGCCYGGAGTCTTCAAAGACGAGATGAAGGAAGAGGAAACACCATCTATTGCATCCATGAATGAGCAGTTTACCAAAGAACTCGATGAAAGTAATGCCAACGAAAATGAAACACAAACGAATGATCGACACCCTGTCAGCGTCTTTARTGACGGACGAGAAGAAGGGCGACTCCCTCGGTGACGTCCATGTGCTTTGTGATAACCTAACATGGTTGTAGAATATTTCTGAAGTAAGTTGTTTCAGTGTTGTATTGTTTAGTCCGGGCGACAAGATATCCGTGCCTTTGTACCTTGGTTTCTCTGGGCGTGCTTTCCTAATTGTACAATCCGTTTCTGTTCACTCCGTTGATCGTTCCACGATATAGTACGTACGGTACTTGGTAGTTACGTATCTATCTATTTTTTCCGCAACGCCCGAAATTTCAAAATAATCTTCTCATGAAAATCTAGATTTTAACCCCCACGATTTGTTTTAGTCGAGCTAGTCGATGACCTGGTGTGGAAGAAGGACTGACGCATAACATTCAACGCTTCAAACCTCGGTTTGCGCGCGGTGATTAAAGAGAGTTCGCATAATTAGCGATGATTGACTGATCAAAAAATGAAGCCCACTCWTATTTCAGCAAGTAAAAAAAGAAAAAAAGAATTTTGCTTGCTTTTGAGCGTCTGCACGTTCATGAATCGTACCGGTACGTAAGTACAGTATGGTAAGTGAAAATTATTTGTTGAGGTATTTTGTGATGTTTGTTTTTGAACGTGCAAAACGAAACGTGTCAGCCTTCTGCATGCAGCGCACCTTCACTAAAACACTCTTTTCGTGAAGAAGGAAAAACAAGTGGWGCAGACAGAAACAATTGTCTACCCACTCATACCTACCTACACGCAAAGAAGATAACTGTTTGCAAAGCACACACAACAATACATTATTACGACAGGCTAGTGCACGCCATGTGCATTCTGGCAGTCTGAAAGTAATTTTAGGAGCAGAAGCACGGTGCTGGTACCTGTAGGAAGTTTCAAAGAATCGTGTTTCAACTGCCGCGGTATGCAAATGGAATCGCAATCCAACATGCCACTCCAGGTCGCGCCTGCCCCCGCAACCCCGTTGCTACATTCGTCGACTATCGATAACGACATTGGATCGCGAGGTATCGGGACAACGGCTCCGAGATCAGTTCCAGGGACAGTTCTTCCGGCACCACGAGGACCGGTAGTAGGCAGGCCAATCGTGTTAAGCACGTTGCATGCCCCGACACAGAATTCAGCTCTAAAATTTTTAGTACCAGATTCTACKCGCAGTGGAGAATCTCTGATTGAGTCCCACGCCAAAATTTTCTCAGAACATCGAAAATCACGTTCCTCCGGTGACAACCCTGGAACGGCGGGATTGAGACTAGAAGTACAACCACCCAACGAACAACAACAGACGCAACAAAATTATTCACTCTCACAACAAATTCGAACCATAGAAGAACAACATGAACACCATAAATCAATACAGCACTCAATAGCTTCTTCCGGTAGTGGAGGAAACTGTAATTTCGTAACGATAACAAACAACTCCACCCAATCTCAAGAGCAAAGGAATCGAGAACACCATCTCGGTTTCCCCAGGATAGAAAGCACCAACAATACAAGCACGAACACATCACAGCAAAGGCAATTCGAACCACAATATACACAACACCAGCAACACTCCCGAACAGCACTGCCGCAGCAACCCCAACCACCTGTACAGTACACGGGAACAGCTGCAGAAATTGCACACCCCTCTTACAGCCAGAACCACAAGATGGGAGACGGTTCCAGGGGATTTTCAATGGCACGTTACGGAGATTTCAACGAAACGAAACGCGATGTAATTGGTTCTCAGAAAGACACAGACGAAGACGCCAGTAGGACTTCGAACTCGACTGATGGCGTTGCCGGTATAAGCCCAGGAAGGAGGACACCAATTCACGAACCTTCGATCGATCGCATCATAGTTGGTACACCTTCTACGGTATCCACCGCACCATCGTCGGACGACGAGGGGATATTAGATTACAAGTTGGATGAATCTGCGTCGATTCTACCAAATCTTCTTCACCCACTCCACCGAAGGGATCGCAGGTTCGGTGAAGAGGATGTGCTCCACATCAACGATCCACAACGCCTTCATCCCGGTTCCTCAGAATCTACCCAGGAGTCAAACCTATGGTCCCGGCAGTCGGCAACTGCAATTTCGTACGAAGAACCTCGACGATCGTTTGATKGGATAACTCAGGTTGTGCCGAATCATGGTCCACCCTTAAGGCATCATCAACCACAACAGAGAGTGGCGTCTTTCCGAAACGAGGGAAACATACACCATCAGATGAATCGCCTCGCACATCATTCTTCTCCAAAAGAATACTATCCACAGCAGCAGCAGCAGCAACAACAACAGCAACAGCAGCAGCAGCAGCAGCACCAACCTCACTTTCCCTTTCAGCAGCAAACTCTTTTGCCGCCAGCGCATCGGAAGATACCACATTCACACCATTCTACCCCCAAAAATACTTCACCTCTCAGAAGCGGTCGCAACCAGAGACAACAGGGTTCTAGACAGGGTTCATCGGGAGGACAATTAAGTAGTCCACATCAATCAACGCAAAGGTCTTCCTCCGAGGTACTGAAAACTCTGCTGCGAAAGAAAGCATGTTTATATGAGCCTGATACATCTCGATCGGTGGCATTAGTCACATGGCTTGTAGGAAGAATTCTAGCTCTCGAATTTGGTTTCTTCTCAAGGCAACAACTTCAATCCGGAGTGCACGCATGTGTGTCCAGCAAGATCGAAGCCGGAACGATCACGCGAACCAAAGTGAACAGGTGCATGCAAATCATTCTGAACTCCTGTTTTCACTATATCATTCCCAGATCTGATGGCTCGGAGGAGAAAGGTGATTACTTCCGGGACTCTTTTTCAGAAACTGTTCAAAATGATTCTGTCCTTCTGCAAGAACTACCGAAACCTTGGAATGATCTGGTTGTTGATAGAGACACAGTGATACATGCCATCCTCAACGAGACAGATGAAAAGATGAAGATTCGTTCGCCTTTGTCATCGCCAAGACACTCTCCAAAATTTGGAAGCATCAATGCAGAGAAAACTTCAGAGAAGTATGGCATGGATGGAGAGAAAGAAGAGGCATCCAAGAGAGCTGTTCTTTTGTGCTTTAATGAAAATGTGAGATCTGCCGAAGACGTCTTTCGTTGCCATCACGACTTCATACGGGACACGGCGAATGCATCTAGCCTCCAATTGACCGCACAAGAGTGGGCCCAATTTTTTGGTCACGAAGGTTCCCAGGATCCCCATCTTTTGGGAAACATCGGAGCATCTATGCAAGCAGGAGCGTCACTGGGGAGACCTCCCTTGCAACCCGATGTGCTTGGTCGGATGAGTCCCGACGAGTTGGGTAAGTTTCGAACTACTTGGTGTACTAAAAGGTACGAACACGACCACGATCTTTGCGGGTTTGCCCACATCGAAGCAAACAGTGGTTGGTTGCGTCGCGACCCTTTGGTCTATTCGTATAAGAACGAAATGTGCAAGTTCGTTACCTACGTTGGAGAAGAGATGGTTCTCCCTGGGACTCCTGCAAACTTTTTCTTGAATGAGTGTCCAAATGGCCTTGCTTGYGGTTACGCCCACTCTACGGAGGAGATTAATTACCACCCTGATAGCTACAAGAAAAGAGTGTGCGCATCTCCCTATCTGAGATCTGGGGGTTGTCGACTCGGTGACGTCTGCCCGAACGYTCATCCCATCGATAGTAACAGGCCGTTGAAGAAATCATTCCCTGAGAGCCGCTCTCCAGATAAAAGGGGAAAGAAGAATTACGAACAAGTAAAGTTGAATGCAAGGACTTGCCATGACATTTTACCTTCTGGCTTGCCAATCGTGTATGCGAGCCCAGCCCCTATCTCCAAGTTCGAACAACAACTCGGAATGCCAGGGTTGCAAAATCTTTACCGAAGACAGAGCGAAGTGGTAAGGGCTTACGCCCGATCATCTGGGAAATACAAATTCCCCTACAGTCTCTTCGGGGATAGGATGACCACATCTTCTCCAGAATCTATTTCAAAGTGAGGATCTTTCTCTGATAGGGCGATGTAAAGCTACCGTCCGTGAAATTAGCACCAGCGACCAATGGTGCAAATATTGGGATTTATAATGTATGTTTTGAATGTTTTTGTTGCCACTCCCAGGTATTATTGTGTTATGGAACCACAAGAATTCAAATAATGCAGGGAGCGGCAACGGTAGGGCACAGTGACTGTTTTGTTACTTGTATTTGTGATGTATGCTACCGAAAGCTCAGTACTTAAACACAGAATCCACACATGCACAATCACGTCGATTGGAATTTGCTGTGTGGTAGTGGAAAAGATGAAATGCATTTCTTGATTTACAAAGTATTTCATAATAAATTTGAATTTATATTACACCAAACGTACCTATTAGGCATTCTTCCTCAATCTGTAGCATTCGAAACCGAATCGCAAAAATTCCGCGATGGATTTTTCGTCAAATTTCCCTATTGGAACAAATCATCGTCATCACTTTTTTCTTCTGATAAGAAAGCACAGCATTTGCCGAATATCTAGGCATTGTACAAGGAATTGACCGGATGCGTGCTCTGCTTTTTTACTCTCCAAACATTGAAAATACCCAAAATCCGAAACTTGACGACAAGACAATGTTTGCAATAATGCACAATATCCTTTTTTCTTTTTTCACTTCATGCTTCGTTCCGGTACGGATCCCTGTAACTGTTACGGTATCGTAAGTGATGGTTTGGTGCTTTTCGGAAAAGATCTCGAGACCGTTTACGTTTCGTCGAGGGAGGAATCGGGAGGACTTGTATGTACGTAGTATTGTTACTGCAGTGAAGAGAGTAGGAGTAGAAACCAATGATCATGTTGTTACTATTACTGGGGCCTACTGTGGTYCACCGCGGCTACTACTCATCTAAAGTGTTCTTTTCATTCTATTGAAAAAACACTGTTCAAAGCAACCAACGATAGGAATAGCTGTTTGAAGGTCTTCCACTCACTCACTCTTTCTTAGTACTGTACTTGGTAGCAATCGTTAGCTCTATTCAATTGTCGATTTATCAAGCCTTGTTGAACTTGTGGTGTATTAGTACTAAACAAGCAAGTGTTGTAACCCATTTTATAGTGGTAGTGTGTTCAGTGCCAGCAGCTTCTTTTTTACGACAACTGATTCTGACCTCAGCAACAGCAATCAGCAACATGACAAGCACTGATCGTCTGCTGGCAGATAAGATGCTACTACTAGTAGTAGTAGCCAAGCTCTGAGCCAATGCTGGAGGACTATCAAGGCTAACACAACAACAAGAAAGAGCTGAGAAGTCTCATGTTAGAAGGGGAGAGAGTAGATGATATGATGACCACATTAGAAAGATGGAACTRGAAAGGAAAGGTGCTTGTTGTCTTCCTCCTGCCATTGCTAGTAAATCCTCAATCAAGGGATGGTCAAAGAGGGCAGGAGAGGGCTACAGGACGAGAACTGACAATATTAGCCAGGGCAAACTGGTGGGTTGCAATCTCTTTAACATAGTTTTGTTTATCTGGATCTATCCAGATGCAAGAAATGATGAAATGCAAGCTTCCCCATCATCTTGGAAAAGCAAGAAGCCTGATGCGTGCAGGTGTGCTCCTAGTTTCAATTATTTGCAAGCCTGACTGCATTGCAGCAAGTTCTTGCTGCTGCTGCTGCTGCTGCTGCTGCTGCTGCTTAAAATAAGAGTAGTAGTGACAAAGGAAGTTCCTGGTACTACTGCAATGACACATATTCAGGACCAGGCAGTATCAAAACAGGGACACAATGACACATATGGTGGACCAGAGGAAGTAATATTTTAGTTTTGGCCACACTTTTACAATGCATTGGGTTGCTGCCAAAAATGAGCACTAGGATTTTTATCTGCCTTCCAACCCCAGCAAGAAGCAACAATTCCCACTGCCAGCCCTCCCACCATTGTTGACATCAAAATTTGAATATTTAATTATTTCTCTTTCCCTTGTATTGATTAAAACTCAATTGTATAGGCTTGGCCACACCAAAAAAGACAACCCAGTTGTACATTAGCAATGCTGGACATACTTACACATATAATGAAGACTTCTTTKACCCCCATACTCCCCCATATCACTCAATTTGTCTTTTTAATGGGATTCAATTCATGTGCCTATCATACTTCAGCGTCCATTGGGGACCAAGATACAGCTCAAAGAACTGTCAGTTCAAGACAAAAAATTATACAGTTAAATAACAAAGTGCATAGTAGATAGTGGGCTATCTTTTTTTGTGTAATGGCTTGTACTAGGGCTACAGCAACAGCATGTGCAAGCAAAACTATCTGGTTGCAAGAAGACTGACAGGATTCAAAAATTAAAAATTCGACACAACAATGTACTGGTAGTAGTACTGAGCACATGCATTATGTACATGGATAGTTTTTTAGTCAAACTAGTCACTATGTACAAAATAAGGCCTGCAATCTACAATTGGATTGTAGTAGATTGGCTGGCCAAGCCTATATGATACTAGTAGTAGTAGTCTCTTAGAGCCATACATGCTTAGGGCCTACACATGATGGTTAGTGGTGCTCATACATGCTTAGTGCCTACTACTAGTACTACAGCTAGACCCAATAGTAAGCCAAAGACAATTTATATGTTGACAGCAAATCCACAGTGAGGAAAATGGATGACAATGACAAAACAAGCAAAAGAGACAATGCCACTGCAAGGAAATTGGATGATGATGGTGCTGGAGCCTGCAGTCCACCAGCAACAAAGATTRAGACAGTGTAGAGACAGTGTAGGAGATGATGGTCAAGAGTAGTACTAGTACATCATAGTAGCTAGTACTACTACTAGTAATAATCTACTAGTAGCATGAAGAAGAATGACAGAAGTTAGAGAAAAAAACAATTGGTACTACTACTACTACTACTACTACTACTACTACTACTACTACTACTACTACTGCTACTGCTACTGCTACTGCTGCTGCTGCTGCTGCTACTACTACTACTACTACTACTACTACTACTACTACTACTACTACTACTACTACTGCTGCTGCTGCAATGGATACATACGTACTGTATCGGAAATACGTACGTACTGTATTGGAAGCATACGTACATACGATGCTTGCTCGGAATGGATGGACATACTATTCCTACCTATATATCATAAGGTACTATTCATATATATATCATACGATCTATCGTACCAAGAGGTCTAAGAATACAAGGTACGATTTGAGAACACCTTACGAAGAACAAAGATGTCACGAGTCTGGAATAGGAGAATCCTCATGTACATTCAGTACCAGATCTACATAAGGATCTAATCAGAACTTTGGAATTCTCGTGAACGCACTTGGTAATTTTCACGATAATCTTATCTTATAATTTTCTTTCATACACACTTAAACACCTACTAAGAGTACACGTATTTCGTGCACAGTAATTACTACCYGTTTGACGTGTATCAAATTAATCGACTCAACCCTTAAGAAAAATCACCGAATAACCGAATCAACCATGGTGAAAACAAATAAGAACTCCTCTTCCAAACAACATTGATACTCACATCAATCATGTCTCAGCCTTGAGAATAACTTCAACAAAAGTGACCTTGAGAAGGTTACCCTTTTCGTGGATCATCCAGCACTGGGAGAGGAGCAAATATAAGAACAATTCAAATCCCTGCAAAGAAACTAAAGAGAAACTGCTCAGTCTTCTCTGGACAATATGGAGTACAGGAACTCTTCCATATTCAGGAAGACTTTGAGGACACAATAGATGATTTGGAATTGATGGATGGACAGATTGATCAAAAATGGGTAATGGTTCTAGCCCATTGACCAAGGCAGAACTGGAACAACATGTGGAGAGGTACCGACAGATTGAGAATAGGGAGAAACACCAAGGAGCAATGGAAACAGGCCCTCATCGCCTTCAGGGAATTCTACGCACCATCAAAACGAGCCAGAGATGAGGCCATTGAATATTTACAATCAGATGCCATACAGAAGCCCCCCAGAATCACATGCCAAGCACACGCCGAAAGCATCCTCATTTGTTGCAACAGAGCCAACCTCCTACATGGTATTCAGGACCCTCTGTCCGAGAGGGAGATCAAGGAGATCCTTTTTAAGTCCTTCCCCAGTGCTTGGCAAGATAAATATATCAGTTGCAGCAAGGACATCCTCGAAGACTCTCCCCAGCAAATAGTCAAGTTCATGACAGACCAAAAAGGACTCGCAGACAGGAATGAAAGGAATCAATTGAGGAAAAGACCAGTGAATGATACAGAACACAGAGGAAAGAGTGGAAAACAAAGAAGAGGCAACAGCAGCAACAGTAACAGCGCTGGCAGTGAAAATCAGACAGAAAGGCAGAAGAGGATCAATGTGAGGCCTTGCAGGAAGCATAGTGGAGATCACACTTGGGGAGAGTGCCCATTCAACAGGAAGGGTACCAATTACCAAGGAGACAGTCAGAGAAATAACAACAATAACAACCAAGGGAACAACAATAACAACCACAGGAACAATCAGGGAAGCTCAAATTCAAGCAGCAAGACATATACACCAGGTACCTATACCCTTGATGAACGTGGCCAGCTAACTCAAATCTAACAACAGCCTACATGCCAAACTTATCAGCTTACACAAGCACAGAATAGATCCAGTTTGAGTGGAGGTCCTCCTAGCCATGTCTCCATACAATCCAACAGCAACACAGGATCAACAGTCCATTTTCATGGACTTAATCATCAGTGGTGACATCCACAAGAGGTAGAACAAAAGGAGGCCTTCTTTGCATTGCCTCCGACACCAACCACTCATTCACAGCAAGCAAGTTTAGAGCTGTTTGGGCTTGATAAGAAATATCCCCTCACGAATCCAACTTCCAACACTTTGAGAGCATTGAATCCGGATTTGATTCCAGCTGTAATCCTTGTTTGCAAAACAATCCAAGACCTATCAATGATTACTACATTCAAAGTTCTTTTGGATAGTGGAAGTACCATGTGTCTGATTCCTGAG